GAGTGCAGAGCCAGGACTAACCCCTGTACATTGCTGGGCGTGACTCAAAAAAGAAAAAAAAATGGAGAAACGACCTAAATAAACATAGGACAGCAGATATGGTGTTTGTCTTGCACACGGTCGGTCTGGGTTCAATACCAAGCACCCTATATGGCCCCCTGAGCTCACCTGGAACCATCTCTAAGCCCAGAGCCAGAAGTAAGCCCTTAGCACTGCTGGATGTGCTCCCGTCCCTCACCGAAAAAAGAAAATCACAGCAATATATCACCTTGCACCTGTTAGGATGGATAAATATATATATATGCATATATATATATATATATTTTAAGAGTGAGAGATACCTAGAGCTACCAAGTATTGGCAAGGCTGTAGAAAAGGAAAAATCCTTGCGTGCTGTTGGTGGAATGTAAATTGGTGCAGCTATTTTTGAAAGCAGTATGGATGTTCCTCAGGAAACTAAGAATAGAACTACCATATGATCTGGCAATTCTGCTTCTGCGTATATTTCCCAAGGAAATGAGATCAGTGTTTCAAAGAGACACTCCCAGGTTCATCATGGCATTAGTCACCAATAGTCAAGGTATCGAAACAGTGTAAATGCCTGTCAGTGTTTAGCATGAAAAATTCAAACTGGATTTTTTTTTAAATGTACTCTTAAGAACATAATGCTACTTACTGTTTTTTAGCAAATATTTTCTAAAAAATGAACACAACTTTCATACATTTCTGTTTATCTGAACCTGAAATGCTATGCCAAGATGTTTTTTACTTAGGGGCGAGAGCAGTAGTACAGTGGGTAGGGCTCTTGTCTTGCATGCAGCCAACCCAGGTTCAAGCCCCAACACCCCTTATGGTCTCCCAAGTCCACCAGGAGTGATCCGTGAGCACCACTGAGTGTGCCCCCCACCCTCCAAAAAAGATGTTTTTAATTTAACCTTTAGAGTTAAATCATGTAAATATACCACTGTTGTGTTTATATTTGGGGTACTGTTTAAAAGACTCAGTCATATTGGCTATTTATCCAGATACTGAGTTATAAAAGTAAAATATTTGGTGAATTTTTTCCAAAATGTTTAAATAATATACTTAATTTCTTTTTAAAAATGAATAACTTACCTTTAAAAATAAAGATGTATGAACTTAACATCTTTTCTTTAAAATATATTTGCGGGGCTGGAGCGATAGCACAGCGGGTAGGGTGGTTGCCTTGCACCCGGCCAATCCGGGTTCGATTCCCAGCATCCCATATGGTCCCCTGAGCACCGCCAGGAGTAATTCCTGAGTGCAGAGCCAGGAGTAACCCCTGTGCATTGCCAGGTGTGACCCAAAAAGCAAAAATAAAATAAAATATATTTGCTTAGGGCCCGGCAAGCTACCGAGAGTATTCGATATGCCAGACACAGTAACAACAAAGTCTCCAATGGAGACGTTACTGGGCCCGCTCGAGCAAATCGACGATCAACGGGAGGGCCTTTACCTTTTTACCTTTGCTTAGGGCCAGAGAGATAATATAAGGATTTAAGGCCTTGCATACAGCTGACTCCAGTTTGACACTGCGTATGATCCCCTGAGCACAGCCTGGTGTGGCCCCAAAACAAAACCAAAAAAACCCCAAGCTATTTGTTTTAGCAGTTGTGGCTCAAAATTAAAAACCAAGTTCTATAACCGCTTTTATTTGCTTATAGCTCTACAATAAGTAGATTTATATTCCTCTGTTCCTCTTTGCAGCTCTGAGATCTTGTTTCAGGAGGTGTTCTATACTAATATGAAAATAATATCATTGATCAATGAAGAATGGTGCTTGCTCAATTTCTTCTCATCCATTCTGTCCTGATATTTCCCTTGTGAGCATTGACATACATTAGTAACAGGAATCGAGGAGGCAGTTTCAACTAGTGTGGAAAATGAAATTAATGTATTTTGAGCAGTGAGATTTATGACCTTGCCCTCATTTAATTCATTCTCCCCACTCTACCGATAGAAGGAACGGTTAAGCAAAAGCAAACAGCTGTAGGGGATGAGTGAGTGGTGCACATGAGACCTCTAGTTGTGCTGTTAGGATCCACAACCTCCTTTAACCAAGTACTAGCACTCACAACATGGCTTGGCAAAAGCAGGTTTAACTCCTGAATATTATTGTTATTATTATTATTCATTTTGGAGCCACTCCAGCAGTGCTCAGGACTCCTGGCTCTGTCCTCAGGCATCACTTGTGCTGGGCTTGGAGAAATCGTTTGGGGTGCCAGAGATCGAACTCCAGTCTGCCAAATGCAGGGCAAGTGCCCTGCCCGACATATTATCTTTCTGCTCCTCCTCCCCTTTTATTTCTCCTAAATCTTGCAGTAGGTCATCTTGAACTTATTCAGGGTTGGGAAGTGGGGCACAGGAAAGAAGGGGCGACTTGGAGGCCTCTGGCGGATTGATGAGAGGCTCCAAACTTGGTCAGAGTAGCAACATTTGACTGGCCCACAGAACAGCACTTAGGTTTTTTTTTTCTCAGTGTTGGAAATATCTTTTAAATTGTTTTTAATGTAGGTTGATGGCACTGTTTGAATAAAATTTTTTTAATTTAAATTGTTTTATTTTAATTTAAAAATAAAACTTGAACTATCAGGGCTAGAGAGATCGTAAAGAGTACAGAGGGTAAAATACTTGTCTTGAATTCCAGCAGACCAGATTTAATCCCTAGCATCCCATATGGTCCCCTGAGCCTTCCAGGAATGATTCCTGAGTGCAGAACCAGGAGTAAGCCCTGAGCACTGTCAGGAGTGCCCCCATTCCCCTCTCCCCCCAAAAAACCTTGAAACATCAAACTTAGCTTATCCAAAATAGTACCAGTGATAAAAAATAACAAAAACAAACCTAAAAAATTTAATATTCAGATACAGCAAGTTGTGAGTCAATATTTCCATTGAATTTTTGAAAAACCTAACCATGAATACTAGCTAAATTATCTGTTTTTCATATTAAAATTACTAGAATATTTAGAGGTGGCCAGAATAAGAGGGAAAGAAAGCATTATAGAGTTTCTCAACTCATTAACATAAAATAGTATGCTAATTTTCTGGATTTTGAGCAGCTTAGTGGTATTTTCCAGTGTTTTTATTTTATTTTATTTTATTTTTGGTTTTGGGGTCATACCCAGTAGTGATCAGGACTGACTCATAGCTCTGTGCTCAGGAATCACTCCTGACAGACTCAGGGACCATACAGGATTCTGGGGATTGAACCCAGGTCAGTCACATGCAAGGCAAGTGTGCTGTCTCTCTGGCCCCATTAGTCAGTTTTAAATATTATTTTTTATTGTGAGAAGTATGACAAAAAGTTCCCAGCAATTAATGCCTATTTTCTTTTCATATAGAACCAGAAACTGAATATTATATTTCACAACTAAATGATCAGAATGTGAGTTTAGGGTGGTATATTTTGTAGTTTTCTGAGATTTTTTTTTTTACTTAAAAAATTTTTTATTTATTTTTCATTTTTTTGGTAGCATATTACTTTAAAAAGTGAGGACAGGGTCAATGAAATAGTACAAAGGTTAAGGTGCTTGCCTAGCATGCAATCCTGGTTCAAATCCCAGCATGTTATATTTTGAGCATTAACAGATACGACTTTAAAAAAAATAATAATAAAAAGAGGACAGATGCAAGGGAGACAGCTTACCAGGCTGGAGTGTAGGCTTGTCTGATGCATATGGAGAAACCCCAGGTTTGAGCCACACCCAACATGGTCCTCAGAGCAATGGCCACCACAGGGCCCTCCCCTCAAATAAATAAAAAGTAAGACCAGTAAAGCAGAGGTCAGAGACAAACTGAGTCATCACCAAACTTCCTTCTTAATAGTTCTGTGATAAAGTAGATACCCACCCTTCTTACTATGAGCTTGAGTTTTATCTACAGAATGTGATTGTGTTGTCAGTTCAGTCACCTTGGTTTTGTACAGGATTGAAGATGAGAAGTAGAAGCTGTTTTTAAATGATAAAAGTAATTCATGAATATAGTATTATTCGATACTCATTCATAATCATAGAAACTTTCTTTTGAAAGGGATGTATCTCGTGGTTCACAAAAAAAAGGATAGAACTAAAACAGACTTAGATTTTTCTTCAATGCTGGTCATATTTGCTTTCAGCCTCTTGGCCATTTACTGTTTTATTGATTTGAAGTGTATCTTTGGTAGAGCCAGATAAGTTGAAATAATGACTCTCACCAGAAATCATTAATGATGCTCATAAAGTCACCTAAATCTTTTTTATATATATTTTATTGTATTCTATTTTTATAAAGAAAAATACTTGCAGGCTATCGAATGTAGCCTGCCCACAGGGCAGAGTCTGGCAAACTCCCCGTGGCGTACCAAATATGCCAAATACCAGTAACAATGATGGGTCTCATTCTCCTAAAGAGCCTTGAATATAATCTCAGGGCTAGGATGAAAGAGACGTTACTGGGGCCTGCTCGAGGCAATCGACGAATAACAGGATGATGAAATGAAAAAAAATGAAAAATTTTTATAAAGTTGTTCACAATAATTTGTTACATTTAATATTCCAACATCAATCCCACCATCATTACACCTACCTACCACCATATTTCAAATGTTTCCACCCCAACCCCCAAGCCCTGCCCCCAAACAAACCTAAATAATTTATTTTGTAATGTTTGTTATAAATAATCCACTAAAAACGAACTAAAAAATTTCCTTAGAGGAAAGTATATCAAGATTTTTTAATCTTAGCCTGGGACCATTAAGCCCCTGTTATAAGAATGAGATATCACACTGCCGCATTTGCAACTGTGCTCCAGGAATTCTAAAATTTTAAATACTGTTCTAGAGCTGAGGCTAATTTAATTTTTTTTTAACTGGATGGTGACTTTGGGGTCTGGAGGCATCCCTATGGCAATGATTGTTCTGTGTTGCTCTCTTTGAGGGATTTATTTCTGTCTCTGGATCATGGCCATTAATGAAGAATCTTCTTTTTTTTTTTCTCCTTTCAGGTAAATGGTGATATTCCGCCTCGGTTAAAAAAAAGTGCTCATGAAATCATCTTGGATTTCATCAGATCAAGACCTCCTTTAAATCCGGTACGTTATCTGACATGATCCCTCTCTATTGGCGATTACATAACTGAATTTTTCTGCTCTATGGAATTATCTCTTTTTTCTTTTTCAATTGCACATGGTTTTTATTGGGTGGCACTTGGGGTGGGGACATGGCAGAATCATACTTTACCCATCACACATCAATGATAACATGTTAAAAACCAGCCTGTTTTATTGGAACGTGTAAAGTCACAGATAGTCTTAATAAGGCATTTCAAGATCCAGTCCACCTGTGGGTCACTTAATGCCATTTAGCCAAAAACAAACCACTTAGACATCAGTGGTCCCAGGGCTTGGCTGTATAACTTTAGGTGTGTAATGGGCTGTATACCATCTAGGCTTCTGTAATTACACCCTGTGACACACAAAAACAACATCCCCTTACAGTGCATTTCTCAGAGCACATCCCTGTCATTAAGTATCTTATGAGTGTATATGTTTTCTAGTCCCAGATTACAAATACTCAGGAGTATTCCTGTTCTCAGGTATTCCTGTTCTACTGATCTAAGTATCTAGCTGAGTTTTTGCTTCCCCCAGTTTTCAAGAATTAGGTGAACTGCTTAGTAAAGATCCCTTTACTAAGATGGAGCAGACAGGATGCTGGCCTTACACATGGCCGACCCAGATTTGAGCCCCAGCCCTCTTCCCTTTGTTCCCCCAACCATTGCCAGGAGTGATCCCTGAGCACTTCCAAGGTGTGGTGGCCCCAAACAAAACAAAAATATATGGATTCCCTATGCAGTTATGTTTGAGGGGGGACGTAGATATACTTTTTCTCTGGTCTTTGAAGATTATCTTTACTGTACCAAGGAATATGCATGACTTCTAATTAATGCTGTTATGAAGCTAAATCAGGAATTTTTGTTTGCTACCCAGTTTACCCTGAATGAGAATTTGGTAATGTATTTCAGAATAAGTCTACCTGAAATGTGCCGTTTTGGCATGTGAATAATTATGAAGTCTGTTCATACCCTACAAACTTTGCCCCCTCTTTTAACTACCAGAAAGAATTTAGATTAGGGGCAGGAGAGAGCTCAAAACTTACACTGCATAGTGCCCTGAGCACTCTGCATTGGCATCCCCTCACCCCCAGTTCCCACATAAAATACAGAATTTAGGTCACCTTGCCCAGAATTAGGGTAATTGTCACAGATAAATTTTTATAACTTAGTTTGATGGGAGGATAAGCATCTAATTTACTGTTTGTCTGCTTTTTTTTTTTTCTTTTTGGGTCACACCCGGCGATGTGCATAGGGGTTATTCCTGACTCTGCACTCAAGAGTTAGTCCTGGTGGTGCTCAGAAGGCTGTATGGGATGTCAGGGATTAAACCCAGGTTGGCTGCGTGCAAGGCAAACGCCCTACCCGCTGTGCTGTCTCTCCAGTCCCCTGTCTGCTTTTCTTAATGTATTTTTCTCCTTGTTGAAGCCCTGGGCCCTTGTCTTATTCAGCAGCTCAGGGGAGCATAGGAATTTAATTTTCACATGACTCTCTTTGGAACAGACTGGAGCGATAGCACAGTGGTAGGGTGTTTGCCTTGCACGCAGCTGGCCCGGCAGAGCCGGGTTCGATTCCTCCGCCCCTCTCGGAGAGCCCGGCAAGCTACCAAGAGTACCTCGCCTGCACGGCAAAGCCTGGCAAGCTACCTTTGACGTATTCAATATGCTAAACACAGTAATAAGAAGTCTCACGATGGAGACATTACTGGGCCCGCTTGAGCAAATTGATGAACAACAGGAGGACCGTGCTACCATGCTACCATGTCTTTGGAACTCTCATGTCTATATGTGATCCAATATGTACAAAATTAATTTTTTCCTCCTATGTCCTGTGTCTTTTCCATTGTTAAATCCTCCAAAGAATCTAGGGAAAGACAGAAATTTTTCTTCCCTTACATTGGTGAAACAGTTCGTTTCTGTAATTTAGATATAGAACGCTGCTCTTAAAGTGTTGACACTGAGTTTTTATTCTCTAAATAAGAGATCTAAACTAATTATGTGGGCCTTAGAAGATACCTAAAATAATTTAGTACAAAACTTTTAGGGCTGTAGCCATAGCACAGCAGTAGGGCATTTGCCTTGCATGCGGTTGACCCAACCGACCCGGGTTCAATTCTTCCACCCCTCTCAGAGAGCCTGGCAAGCTACCGAGAGTATCTCACCCGCACGGCAAAGCCCGGCAAGCTACCCATGACATATTTGATATGCCAAACATAATAACAACAAGTCTCAAAATGGAGACGTTACTGAGCCCGCTCGAGCAAATTGATGAACAATGGGAGGACAGTGACAGTGAAGACTTTTAGAGGGAGCTGAGAGTTGGTAGAGCAAGCAAGGTGTTTTCCTTGCATGCAGCTAACCTGGGTTTGATTTTTGGCACCCCGTCTGTTCCCCGAGCCCACCAGATGTGATGCCTGAGTACAGGCAGGTGTGGCTGCAAAACAACCTGAACAACCTTAGAGAGTGTTTTAACTCAAAAACAGTCTGATGCTAGTCCAAAATCTAGTCCAAAACCTCACAGAATAAAGACTAAATAGCAGTATGATATTGTGATATAAACTTCCCTTCAAATTGACTTTATGAGACTAAATAACCTATTTGATTAATGGTCTTTTTAAATTCCTTTTCTGCTCTTTTTACAATATAGCCGCTCTATTATCCATCGCCTTTAATTTTTCCTTTTCTGTTAATAGATTCTTTCTAGTGACCTGTAGAATCAGAATATTGTAATCATTTGAATATTGATTTTCATTTCCTCTTTATTTGTTTATTTATTTATTGGAGGTGGAGGAGCCTAGTGACCACTCTAGGCAATATTCAGCCAATCAGCCTGGATAGTTCCATGCTTTGTGGCATTTTGGGCTTGTGGTGCAGAGCCAATCCAGCACACTTGAGAGGGCCACACATGTGAGGAGAACTAGAAAGATAGTACACTTAACTTGCACATGGCCAACTTGGAGTTTAATCCTGGGCACTCCTTCTGGGCCCCCACGTCCTGCCAGGAGTGATTCCTAAGCACAGAGCCAGGAGTAAGTGCTGAGCACCGCTGGGTGTGCGCCCCCCCCAAAAAAAAAAAATAAGAGGACCATGTGGTGGTGGGGATCAAACTGGGGTCCTTGTCCACGAAGCACATGCTCCCATGCCCCTTTAAGCTATCTCCCTGACCCCCATTTCCTCTCTACTTCTTTTTCCCTCCTTGTGAGGCAGTGCTTATCAAAACTCCTCAACCTATGTACCTTAATTAACCAGAAAGGAAATGGTATTCCTTCCCCAGTGTCTGTACATAATTAATGATCCATCTTAAAACTCTATTTAAAAGAAGGGAAAGAGGCTGTTTAGGAAAATGATTTTGAGAAAGTAGGTCATTGTAGAGCAGAAGGATATAGAATCAAATGAACCTGGATTTGCAGCAATAATTCTGCAGTTCAGCTGTTATGTCTCGGCAACTTCATTAGCCTTTCTGAGCCTTTATTTCCGTGCTTATATAATGAAAATAGGGGAAGTAATGGCTTACTCAGAAACATTCGTTTCAGATGCAGTAATGGTGGGAATAGGGATGACTCAGTGGCAGAGCCATAGCCTTACAAGCCTGAGACTGTGAGTTCACATAGTGTGCAGTTTGGCACACACAGCCAGGCATGTAGACGCCAAGCCACATGTGTGTAACCTTTAGTCACTATAGCTATAACAAAAGAGAAGAGAAAGGGTTTGTTATTTTTTAAAAAAGTAATAATGGGGGACTGGAGTAATAGTACATAGGAAGGGTGTTTGCCTTGCACGTGGCCGACCTGGGTTCGATTACCATATGGTCCCCCGAGCACTGCCAGGAGTAACCCCTGTGCATCTCCAGGTGTGACCCAAAAAGCAAAAAAAAAAAAAAATGTGGTAGTATTAGAGTATAGCTTACATTTCAGTTGATTGTCTGTTGTGCTTGCCGCTAGGGAATATAACAAAATTATTAGCAAAACTAGTCCTTAAAATTAATTGAGCACAATGACTGGGAGATTGTGCAAGTGGTTTGCAAGGTCCCAGGTTCCATCCTTGGCATCACATGGTGTCTTGAGCACTGCCCCAATGGCCCCTGAGTTCTACCACCCCCAAGCAACACTATAGACATGCTCAAGAGTTTAACCCATCAGATCAGTACCTCTAGGTCGAAACTTGATGAAAGCGTGCTGACTCCTGTGGTTGACTGGGAATGGCCCCAAAGCCATATCTATACGCTAGCGCGCGCACACACACACACACACTCACACGTGTACACACACACACACACATACACATATGCATACACATATATATTCAATTACATGGAATTGTGGTTGTGGTTCAGTGGTGGAGTTTATGCCCCAAATGTGTGAGACCTTGGGTTCAATTCCTATTTCTGCCAAAACAATTAATTAATTGACTCTCCCTACTGGGTGGGTTCCACGCACCACCTGCACCTTGTTGAGGGCCACACCACAGCTCCTCCCTGACCTTCTGCTTGCTGCCCTACAATTCCAGATGAGGCTCGCCTCTGACTGATATCACCTATTTCAGAACAGAGGCAGAACCCATCCCAACTGGGTAGAGCCCCAGCAACCTCCACACCTGACCTGTGTCCTAATAAGGCTACACTATAGATCACACTACAGCCTCTGATCTACACAACAAATAACATGCTGCTCACAGTTGTTCTTCCCATCATTCTCTGAGGATGGGCAGAGAAGACAGTGAGCAATCGCCAGCTTAACCCCTCGGCATCTTCCGGGGGGACCTAACTACAAAGACTCACCCCAACACAGCAAGAACACTAGAAACCCAATGGGGAAAACATGTAAAAGCCCATCAAGCTCAATGAGCAAAAACCTTATCACCAAAATAATAAATACCACCAGTAAATTCTCAGACAGTGTCTTTAGTGACACTATGATTAGGATGTTCAATGATTTCAAAGAAACGATAGCACGGTAGTCAGCAAAACACAGGAAAGTGTGAGAGTCAGAATTAAAAACAACCACAGTCAGAAACAACAGAAATAAGGAACATGATAGCTGATAGTAAAAAAAAAAAAAGTTAATAGAAGCTCTGAATAGCAGAATAACAGAAGCTGAGTAAAAGATCCAGGAGTTCCAAGATGAGAAGGAGGAAACCTCTAGGAAACAACAGAAGGTAGAAAATAGTCTGAAAGAAATGAACGAACAGTATCCCAGAGAGCTATGGGATGAGTTTAAGAGAAACAATATAAGAGTCATTGGAGTCCCTAAAGAACAGAAATACAAGTCTGATAAAGAGACAATAGTTTAAAAAATCATCAATAAGTGCTTTCCAGAGTTGAGGATTACGGCACCAAGTTCCTAAGAGGCCTGAAGAGTCCCAGTGAAAATAGACCAAATTAGGAAAAATCTGAACACATATTAAACTCAAAATGACAAAATCCAAAGATAGAGGCAGACTGAATATTGAATACATCAAGATAAAAAAAAAACTTATGTACAAAGGAAATCCCATAAGATACAGCAGATCTACCAAATGAGACTCTATGAGCTAAAAGAATATCGAAAGATAGAGTACAAAAACTCAGTGAAATGAACAAGAAATACTCTATGCCGCTAGATTATCATTCAGATTTGAAGGAACTGTACTGCTTCGTGGACAGGCAACAGTTTAGGGAATCTATAGCCTTGAAACCAGTTTTACAAAAAACATTAAAAGTGCTCCTGTAAATGACAGGGAAAACTTCCTATCATGTGGCATTGGTTATTGCACTTACCAATGATGCATGTTATTGTTCTCTACAAGGTTAAGAAAGTTTTTAAAAATAGAGCCATTAATCACCACAAATTGACTTTCATTGACTTATTTTCTGTTAATTCTATTAGTCATTCCTTTAAGTTTTATTGGACCAAGTAATATGAAATAAATTTGTTATATGACTGCCATGGGGTGGGGGGAGGGAACCTGAGGATATTCTGTTATTGTTGCAGCATTTGCTTGATGGTATTTTTTAAATCATTGTCAACTCCTTAAAGGGAGATTATTAGGTTTTTCATTGATTTGGTCATATGTTCTCAACTAATTGATTTAAGTAAACCTCATTTAAGAACAACTACTGAAGTCTCTAGCCATGATCTTTTATTATTGTCATTTTTTCTTTTTTCAAGGCCTCAGCCAGAAAACTGAAACCCACTCCACCACGACCACGGAGCCTCCATGAAAGAATATTAGAAGAAATCAAAGCAGAAAGAAAACTTCGCCCTGTCTCACCAGAAGAGATTAGACGCAGCAGATTTGGTGAGTCACTTGCTTTCCACTCTTGGGCTAGAGTCATCAATTTAAAAAAAAAGTCTTTGATTCAAGCAGACTAGTGAAATAGAATGGCATAACGGTTTACAGTAAAAATCGTACAGGATGCATGAAGTTCTCATTCCTTGTTACTTTCTCTCTCTCCCCTCCTTTCACCGACTTCATTCCCTCATTCTTTAAGTCTATACTTGAAATGGATTGAGTAGTAAGAATTTTCCCCCTTGGGACATCAACCTTTTTTTTTTTTTTTTGTAATTTATTTATTTATTGAATCACTGTGGGAAAAGTTACAGAGCTTTCGGTTTAGGTCTCAGTCATGTAGATACCAAACACATTTCCCTTTCCCAATACTCGTTTTTAACCCCGAACCCCAATAGACCCCCACCTCCCACCCCTCCCAATTCTTTGTGAGGCAGATGAGTTCTAGTTAATACTATATCTACTTTGACTAGATAGATTATTTCGATAGAAGATGCACAATTATTGTTTAGAGTTTACGACCCACCCCCCCCCCCCCAATCAGACATGCTGAAACAGCGTTGTGAAATGATTTGCTTTCTACAACCTGGTTTAAGAATAAAATGATGTCGCGCGGCCGCAATAGCGGCCGCGCGGTTTTGAATTTCTGCTACTTTACTTATTGACCCTGGAAGAATTTCTATTAAAAGTTAGCTAGTTGAGAGATTGGTTTCTGTGCCCTGGAGTCGTGGCCGTGCCGGAGAGCCGCTCGTGGGGGGCAGCTGGCGACCTCGGTGGGGCGTGGGGGACGGCCCACAAAGCCCCCCTTCCCATGAGGTCCCCGCCGCTCCCCCGAGTCCGGCTCAAACCCGCTTTCCACAAGGCTCCCGTGCGGCCGCCATCTTTCTTTCCAGAGAGGAGCGGGCGGGCCGGTCAACGCCCTTCCCCCTCCGGGCAGGCTTGGTGTCGCGGATCAACACAAGTCCATTTGCTTTTCTGCTCCAAGCGGCTGGTTCTCTGTGCTAAGTCCTTGTGCCTCCGGGGCCGTGGCTGTGCCGGAGAGCCGCTCGTGGGGGGCAGCTGGCGACCTCGGTGGGGCGTGGGGGACGGCCCACAAAGCCCCCCTTCCCATGAGGGGGACATCAACCTTTACACGAGGATTATGACAAAATGGAGTGAGTTCTGCCAGTTCATTGTCTATTAGTTTTAGGGGGTTCACTGCCTCTTGAGTATCATTTTCTTCATTGGCAGAGGGAAATATCAATTCTTTTGATACCTCTTAGGTGTCACATAGAACCACAGACCCAACAAAACTGAAAGCATGAGGTCCAAATTACAATAACCAAACTTAAAAATATGCCTTTCAGGGACGCAGACGGGTGGAAGTAAACTGGGGATGTTGGTGGAGGGAAGTTGATACTGGTGATGGGACTGGTATTGGAACACTGTATGCCTGAAACTCAGCTGTGAATAACTTTGCAAATCATGGTACCTCAGTAAAAAATAAGTAAATGAAAGTTAAATTTAAAATAAAAGCAAAACTGCCACCAACATTTTAATTTTTTCTCTAATAGTTCTTAATGCTTCATGTAAGGATTAAAAGGATTGTGTTCAAAATGCTTCTTAAAATTGTAATGCATGTATAAAAGTAAAAATGTTTATATGCATCTATATACTACACAGATGATACATAGTTTAAAAAATTTCTGTTGTCTTAATTTTGGGCTTAAATATATGATATTAGTGATTAAAAACATCAATTATATAATATTTTCTTGCCAACTGACTTTATATTTAATGTTTTTAATGACACTTTAAGCACAAGTACTTAAATTTTTGATTAAAGCAAAACTACGTTATGAAATATTTTATAATTATTTATGTTTGTAGAGCTTTCTTCCAATTTGTAAGTATAAAGATGCCTCAAGGCAGAGTCTGGAGCAATAGTACAGTGGATAGGGCATTTGCCTTGTACACGACCCACCCAGGTTGACCAGATTCGATCCCCAGCACCCCATATGATTTCCCCAAGCACCTCCAGGAGTGATCCCTGAGCATAGAGCCAGGACTAACCCCTGCGCACCACTGGATGTTGCCCCAAACCCACAACCCACCCGCCCCAAACACACAAACAAAAAGCCAGAACAAAACAAAAGAGATGCCTAAAGAAACTTCAGAGAAAATTCATTTAATCTTGATGTAGGAAAGTCAGTCACTGCGTTTAAATAGGAAAGGAACCAGTTCTATGACTTCACACTCCCCTGACTTTCTCTCGTCTCTTTTTTCTGCCTCTTGCAGACTTAAAAATGGATGTTTCATGTTTCTATTCTGGTCTCACTTCTGCCTCAGCGACCACACTCTTTTCCATGATTTGTGCTTCTGGCTGTCTTCCAGATCCCAGTCCATAGCACAGATTTCCCTAAAAGCACAGACCTAGCATCCAGCTGTCTCCTAATAAGCCCTCATCATGTTCTGTAATTTGCAGAAGCATATCCATAGATGAACTCATCTGCTTTTTCACCAACACCTCTCCTACCGCTACATCTCACTGTGTCTGAGACAGATAAATTTAAAAAAAGTATGTTGAGGAAAAGATTTGACCTGATACTTTTTTTAATTTATTGAGATTTATGGTTTATAAGTATAAAATATTTCTTAAAATCTGCTAAAAACTTATTAAGGAATACTTAAATTTTACTGAGTTTGGATACTAAAACTCTGAGAGTCATTCTTATTGATACACCAGAACTTCCATCTTCAATGTAGAGTTGGCATTAACCCTCTTCCAACCAGATAGGCTTCAGCAGTTGTAGAGAATCTTGGAAATACCGGTGGATTACCTTTTTGAAAAATAGAAAAAGACAACCTTGTTCTCGGGAAAAAAAGACAGACCACTTGACATCTGAAGGGTTGTGGGTCTGTGTTTGAGTGGATGGCTTTTTAACAATCACGGGAAGACTGGAATAGGTCATAGCATAGTTATCATTGCTGACTCTGTCATGAAAATAATGATCAGACTTGGGGTCTAACATAGAAATAAGTAATTTTCATGTCCCGAATGCCCCACATTATCAATTTTTATAATAACCTTTTCTAACAGTTTTAAGGTATAATTTATCTGCCATAAAAATTTGCCCTTTAAATTATATAATTTTGATGTTTTTAGTATATTTAATAAAAGTCACCTTTGTGCTTAGAGCCAAGTTTTCATTCAGAAATAAATTATTTAAAAATACATGAAGTCTAAAATTTATAAATATTTTGTGTTTCCAAAAATAATATTTTAAAAATCTATTTTAAAGTTCTATCTTTAAAATGTTTGTATCTTTATCATGCTTTTATTTTTAACATGTTCTTTTCAAAGTTATCATTTTTTAATTTTATTGTTACTCCATTTTGAGTCTTAATGATAAACGTAAAATTAAGATTCATAGTTTTTTTGTAGTTCGGATTTCTATTCACTGCCTTCTACCTTAAAGTCTGAAATGTGCCATTACAGGTCTTCTCTAATCTTCCTCTTTCTGTCCTTTCTGTATATTTCTAAAAGGTGAATTATTTTCTTCTTATTGTTTTTCTTTTTTCAGCAATGCGGCCACTTAGCATGTCTCACAGTTTTGACTTGTCAGGTAAAAAAAAAAACAAAAAAAGAAAAAAAAGAAAAACACATTCAACCTGACGTGTGTTTTGTGGTTTCTGTGAAATACATTTCATCTGCTTGTTCACACATGTCAAAAAAAGAAAATTGAAAGGCTTCTTCTAAGCCATGGTCAGTAAAATAAAACAGTCTGCTTACTTGAAAACATTATACTCTTAAAACTTAAAATTGTCGCCTACCACGGTCGTGGAAAACCATTCATTACATCATATTTACAGTTGGACTGTATGTCTCCCTGACCATATAATGGTTGTGATCCCTCTTGTCTGCTTCTCCAAAGCAAGGATGCCTTAAGCGATAGCACAGCGGGTAGGGCGTTCGCCTTACACGCGGCCAACATGGCCGACCCGAGTTCGATTCCTCTGCCCCTCTCGGAGAGCCCGGCAAGCTACCGAGAGTATTCGATATGCCAGACACAGTAACAACAAAATCTCCAATGGAGACGTTACTGGGCCCGCTCGAGCAAATTGACGATCAACGGGAGGGCCTTTACCTTTACCTTTACCTTTACCTTAAGAGAATAGAAAAAAATTTTTTAAAAAAGGGGGGGCTCGGAAGAGAGTACAGTGTATGGTATGTTTGCATTGTTCACAGTCAACCCAGGTTCGAGCCCCAGTATCCCATATAGTCACCTCCTGAGTGTGACTGGGTGTGGCCCAAAATTTTTAAATAAATACAATTTTTAAATAAATATGATTTTTTTTAAAAAAACAGAGTTTGGGCAGTATTTTCTAAAGCAGTACCTTGATTAAAGTAGCTAAATTAAAAACTTTCAGCTGCTTCCAAGGACTCTTGTGCCTTGGCTGATAAGCCAGACTATTGTATTCCTGTTCAATGTAAATGAGATAGTTACAAGTGATTCTGAATGCTGATTGAGAGTATAAAAACAGATATCAAAATTTCTCACCACAGGAAAAAGTATTTAAATATAGTGATTTTATTTATTGCAGGGATCATTTAATATATACACAAATATCAAATCATTATGACATATAACTGAAAATAATGTAATAATTAATATCTACTATAGCATAATGTCAAAGATGAAGCTGTGGGGCTGGAGCGATAGCACAGCGGGTAGGGCGTTTGCCTTGCACGCAGCCAACATGGCCGACCCGAGTTCGATTCCTCCGCCCCTCTCGGAGAGCCCAGCAAGCTACCGAGAGTATCTTGCCCGCATGGCAGAGCCTGGCAAGCTCCCTGTGACGTATTCGATATGCCAAACACAGTAACAACAAAGTCTCCAATGGAGACGTTACTGGGCCCGCTCGAGCAAATCGACGATCAACGGGAGGGCCTTTACTTTACTTTATAGCATAATAAAAAGAGCATAAAAACAAAAAATATAATGCCTTTTTAAATTTTAAACAAAATTTAATTTTGTTCTCCAGGTGAATAATGCAAATTTAGACAACCTCTCCTAAATCAACAGATTTATAAGTAACTATTAATGACTAGGTATAATTTGTAAAATCAGCTTTTCTAAATTCTTTTTAAGCTGTGAGTAAATTTTTCAAGAGATATTTTGTTTACAATTCTTTATTTTGGAAGCCACTATGATGAAAGTAAAATTTGATAATATTTTCTTACAAAAAATTTCTCATATTCATAAGATGTCTCTTAAGAATGAAAGAATTAAAAAAAAGAGTTCAAAAATTAAAGAGGTACAGAGATATTAACGTATTTCTTGCGCACACTGACCCTGGTTTTAAGAACTGCCAGGAGAGATCCCTGAGCCGGAAGATGTGGCCCAACTCTTCTTCCTCCTTCGCCCCCACAAAAAAAAAAAGATTGGGGGAAGAGGGGGTTGGTTGAAGAGGACCAGAAGTGATAGTACAGTGGGTAGGGCACTTACCTTGCACATCGCCAAGCCAGATTCAGTTCCTATACCTCATGGTTCCTCTGAGTACTGCCAGAAGTGATACCTAAGCACGGAGCCAGGAGCTTGAGCACAGCTTAATGTGGCTCAAAAAACATAATAATAATTTAATAAATTATAAAATAATAATTTTTAAAACTGAGAAATTAGCAACATATTTAACATACAGGTTCATATTTAATATCCAAAGAGGGCCAGAACAATAGTACAACAGATAGAGCACTTTCTTCTCATGTGGCTAACCCAGATTTGATCCCTGTCACCCACCATGGTCCCCTGAGGACCACTAAGAATGATCCCTGAGTGCAGAGCTAGGAGTAAGCCTCTTACACTGCCAGATGTGATCTAAAAACAAACCAAAAAAATATTCAGAGAGTTCTAGTATCATATTGTACTCTGAAAACTTGTTGTGCGTGCTAACTAATTATTCCATGTGCTAAAGTAGTTTCCAACTGTATTTTTAAATTTCATCAGGTCTTGGGCATAAATTAATATTTATACTTCAAAAATAATCATATATTTTATAGTCCACTATTTTTAACTGACCACCGAAGAGCTTTTTCTTTTTTCTTTATCCATTAATTTTTTTTATCAACCATTTGCAGAATAGCCTTCTAAAAATTTTTCAGTCTGAAATAACTTGTAATGTTTTAAAGTATGTTATTCCAATCTCTAAAGTCTATATTATAGACTATCTCTTCTATCAAAAATGTTTTTATCCATTGGGCTGTACAGGAATGAGTGACTGCCTCAGTACTTTGACTGTTGGCTGATATAAATTAGACACAGATGGCTGATCTAGACAGTTTGCATGCTCACATAAACATTATATGTAAGTATGTTTTGTGTTTTTGTAGGTTATTTGATACGTTCCATGTTGGAAAGAAAGCTTTTGGTGTTTAACCTCCTTGATGTAAAGAAATAGCAGATAATTTTCATTTGCTTTCATTGTTTATCATTTGCTAGAATTTGTACCTTAATATACTTCATGATTTCCACATACTTTATTCTCAACTTCTTGTGCTACTTTATGTTTTCATTTTTGCACTGTAATAATTGAAAAGTTCCTAATTATAAATGGAAAATATTGATATATTTTCTAAATTAAATAGAAAGATTGGACTACATTTTTCCTTTGATTCTGAAAATTTAACAAATAAAATAGTAAACATTTAAACAAATTAAACAACATAGGGACTGTCTCAAAACTTAAGTGTAGAGTAAGATATCATGAAATATGTTCTACTCACATATGTGTTAAAAAAATTACTTATCAGTGGAAACTCCTTAAAACTTACTCAACATTTAAGGTAAGTATAATTTATTTTTCTAATGTAATTATTAAATATACTATAATATGTATCCATCATATTTTTCTGAATAAATAAGGTAGCATTTGGTTTATCTAACAAAGTTATACCATAAAATATTTTATATGGTTATTCATTTTAAATTTGAACATGAATTTATGTGACTTCCGCAGTCTAGCATTTTAATATTTTGCTTACATATAAATAGGTCTGGGCTGGAGCGATAGCACAGCGGGTAGGGCATTTGCTTTGCATATGGCCCACGCGGTCGACCCGAGTTCGATTCCTCCACCCCTCTTGGAGAGCCCAACAAGATACTGAGAGTATCTCGCCCACACGGCAACTACCCATGACGTATTCGATATGCCAAACACAGTAACAACAAGTCTCACGATGGAGATATTACTGGGCCCGCTCGAACAAATCGATGAACAATGGGAGGACAGTGCTATAAATAGGTCTAGTTTTGGGCCAAGGAGTTAGCACAATTGGTAGAGCACTTAAATAGCATATGCAAGGCCTTGAGTTTCAACTCTCAGTACTGATGGTCCCCATAGTATCTCTGGGTTTACCCTAGTGGCCCCCCAGAGTACCACAAGGTACAAAGCACTACATTGCCAAGCTTGTGTCTCTAGACTCTGAAATTCCCCAAGAATCCTAGGTAAGTGCCCAAGAGCTGTGACCCCTATCAAATATATATATATAGTATTTTTATATCAAATGCTATCATATTGAGGTCTATATATTTCAAATGTTTCTATCTCTTGCTATATTGAGTAATAAATAAGGATTTATTCATTAGACCAGATAAATACAAGTACTTTAAATATTTTGATAGCTCTTTAAAATATGTTCGGGGCCAGAGAGATAGATAGTACATTGTCTAGGGTGTTTGCCTTGCACATGGCTGATCCAGGTTCAGTCCCTGGCACCCCATATGGTCCACTGAGCTCATCAGAAATGATCCTGGAGTAATCAGCCAGGGGTAAGCCCTGAACACTGCTGTGTGTGTCCCAAAAACAAAGAGAGAGAGAGAAGAAAGATTAGTGTATCTGTTCTAATTGCTTAGTATGGAAAAATAATACCAAAATGTGTATGTATTATGAACTGTTCTAGTTAATTTTACATAAAATTGTGAATTTTATTATAAAAATATCTTCTTTTCTTTTCCTTCTTACCTCCTTCCTTCCCAGCTTACTTGATGAAACCCTTCCTTTACAAGGACATATTCTTTTTTCTTTTTTCTTTTTTTTTTTATAATTTTTTATTAGTGAATCACTGTGAGGTGCAGTTACAGACTTACGAACTTTTGTGCTTGCGTTTCAGTCATACACAAGGGCATATTCTTCAACTTCTCCATTTCTGAAAAATAAGGAAAAAATGTCAATGTTGATTTTTGTTATATAGACCTGAGAGGTAGCACAGGGGTCAAAGCACTTGATTGGCTTGTGGGTGACCTGCTTCCCTGACTTGGTTTTCAAGACCGTTCTAAGCACTGCCTGAGTATCCCCCAGAATCTCTAGGCATGTCCCAAAAGCCAAAATTTTAAAAGTTTACATTATTCTAAAAATGTCAAGGAAGACTACACTAGAATATACTGATAACACTGTTTCCTGGAAATCCACTTCTTATACTTTAAACATCTATCCAGCATATGTTGGTAGGAAAGTTACAATAAATAGAATATTCATAGGTTTTACAATAGCTTCAATTAAAATGCTTCTCTTCAGGGAACATTAAATGTGTCTTTTTCATTTTAGTTTTTAGTGTACCTTTACCTCCAATTAACAAGCTTCATTGTACATAGACTGTTCCGTGTACAAAGATGAGTTTGTGTTGCTGTGACCACATTTTTCACTTTATTAAGAATTAACCTGATAATAATAGTGTTAATTAGAATATATTAACTAATAACTATTAAGCTTAATCTGTCTTTAGCTTTCTCCATTTGAAAAACTGAGGAAAATTAGTCCTTCTTCCTGGACGATTATAGACTGTACATAGCACAGAAGAGGAACCTTTGGGGTTAATACTAGAAAATACTCACTTCAGCTCTAACTCACGCTAATGTGACTGGTGAAATTATTCGGAGCTTTAATTCATTACATGAAAATGGATATGAGAATCAGTGTTACTGATTGCTAACATTTTTTTTGGACCAACCTATTTCACACAGTATATAGTATTTTACGTGCAGTTTTTAATTCAGTTTTCATTTTAAGCTCATGACTGCTATTACCCCATTGAATGTATAAGGAAACAAAGAGGTTCGGTAACCATCTTGGGTAAAACAATTAAAAGTAGAGGAAGACCTTGAGCTCAGACCTTCTGTACTATAGTGGACTCTGTATGCTATACCGTTTACTCTATTCCTTATAGTGGTGCTCTACCACTGCCCTGTATTCCGTAATACTGTGTACTCTACCCTGTATAGTCACAAATCACTTAAGGACAAAGATAACACCTAATGTTTGTTAGGTGACCTGTCATGCCAACATCGTGTGTAATTATATAAACAGAGGTGGTACAGCCTGCTGTATACCTGTGCTGTGTGGCACAGCCTTGTGGCACTACTCCTGAGTGTAGTTCATCACTAACCAAGAGGTCCAGGGAAACAGACTATGTGTGCTGGACTTTACTCTGTGCTACACTGTGTGCCCTAGCTTGAAATCCTAGCTGCTTAAAATCATAAGGGTCACGTGACTGAAAATCTGGGTTGTAGAAAATTTTAGCTTGAGTAAAATGTTTCTCAACATGCAACACGCAAAGATTAAAGTGAATTGTATAATGAAACAGAGATGTTTCTGGCAGGGCAGTGCTTGCCCATATTACATTTCCCAGGCAAAAAGGGATCCAAAAGAAATTTTGTCTGCACATCATATTCTGTAGTCTGTACTTTTTTACTATATGCTATGTAAGCTCTATTTTTTTTTTGTATTTTGTGACTCTAATCTCTATTCTTTACTATATACACTGCCCTGTACTCTATACCTATAGTTTTCAACCTTTAAAGGGTGTATTTTTCAACCTTCTAAAGGTTCTCAACTATGAATTCTTGCTCTGTACTGCTACATTTTTTTTATCTTTTTTTCTGTATTGCCTTTCCATCCACATATGAGCTTTAAGTCATTTAAATCAGCTTTATCATAAGGAATGTGTTATAGATTCTTTGCAATTCTTGTTAAAGGCCTGTATGATTTATTTTTTGTTCTTTTTGGGTCACACCTGGCAATACTCAGGTGTTACTCCTGGCTCTGCACTCAGGAATTACTCCTGGTGGTACTCAGGGGACTATCTGAGATACCAGGATCAAACCCAGGTTGGCTGCATGCAAGGCAAATATTCAACCCGCTGTACTGTCACTCAAGCTCTAAATGTCGTCTATAAGAACTTAGACTTTTAGGTACTCTTGACTTTTAAATTAAAGTATGTTTAAATCTTATATCACATGTCAAATACATCTTTGTGTCATCTCTTTTATCCACCTATCACTGGCTTGTCAGAGGAAAAGTACAACTACTAGCCTCTTTGGGCCTCTGGAAAATAAACAAGTTGGAGTCAGTTACTCATGAGGTTTTTTCTAATTTTGAATTCTAAATCTACAAATGTAAATTATTCATTTTAAAGTTTTCTTTAATTGAATCATAAATTAATGCCAAGCACACATGTTTCATAGATACATAGTTACTTTGTCAAACTCCTGGGTTGTATTTATATGACATAGGTATCCTGACCAACCTGGGTTCGATTCCTCCTCCCCTCTCAGAGAGCCCAGCAAGCTACTGAGAGTATCTTGCCCTCAGGGCAAAGCCTGGCAAGCTACCCGTGACATATTTGATATGCCAAACACAGTAACAGCAAGTCTCACAATGGACACATTACTGAGCCCGCTCGAGCAAATTGATGAACAACAGGAGGACAAGACAGGACAGGGTATCCCACATCACTTGATCATCCAAGGTCAGGACCTTAAAAAGGGCCATTTGGTCCACTGATTATCTTTCTTGATTTAAAAATTTTAAGAAGCATTCATCTTTTTCCTACCAGATGTAACTACCCCTGAATCTCCAAAGAAAATTGCGGACTCCTCGGTGGTGAATGGAGGTTTAACAGCCCAAACAAAAGAAAATGGGCTAAGTGCAACCCAACAGGTGCCTGGACAGCGGAAGAAGCTCCTCAAAGCCCCAACTCTGGCTGAACTGGACAGCTCCGACTCTGAGGTGAGGCCCCTGCCGGGTCAAGGCAAGTCCATTTTATCAATCACATCACTTCATCTGTTGTAAAGCCAGCAAGCCAGTTTTTCTTCTTTACCTAGTAGCTTTGTATGTTTAAGTAATAGCTATGTAGTAAATATTAAAAATTAACTGCAAAGTAAAATCGTCTTGATTTTTTCAGTTGTTAAATTTTTATAGTGACTTGGGGCTGGAAAGATAGTACAGCAGGTAGAGTACCTGCCTTGCATGCAGTGACCCAGGTTCGATCCCCAGCATCCCATATGGTCCCCTACCACCACCAGAAGTAATTCCTGAGCATCACCGGGTTTGGGGCCACCCCCAATCAATAAAAGTTTAATGGTCACCAGTGACCCAAAAACTTCACACCTTTCTTTAGTCCTTAGATTATCTAATCAGCTATTTTACCAGACTGAAAACTAACCCACTTTGTTACCTTACAAAGTAAATTTTTCCACTCTTATGTCTACTATTTGTCCAGTATTTCATTCTAATTTTCATATATTATTTAACCCAACCCCTATTTTTAAACATTTAGTTGGCTTATCGTTTTCTCGCATTACAAAGAGCAATGATGTTGTGAACATCTTTGGAATTATTTTTCAGAGTACTTCCAGAAACTGTATTTGCTAAGAGAAAGAATGTCATTTTTTTAAAATTTTTTATTAGTGAATCACCTTGAGGTACAGTTATAGACTTAAAAACTTTCATGCTTGCGTTTCAGTCATACAATGATGGAGTACCCATCCCTCCACCAGTGCCCATTTTCCACCACCAATGGTCCCAGCATCCCTCCCACCACCCCCACCCCGCCTCTTTGGCAGGGCATTCCCTTTTGCTCTCTCTCTTCTTTTGGGTGTTGTGGTCTGCATTAGAGTTGTTAAGTGGCCATCATGTTCGATCTGTAGTCTACTTTCAGACCACATCTCCCATCTCAAGCGGGCCCTCCTAGTACCCTTTACTTGGTGGTCCCTTTGCTAAGAGAAAGAATGATATTTTATGTTCTTAATATGTCTTGCCAAGAAAGCTATAATGCCTACTTTAATTTGTAGGAGACACATGCAGAAATGCTCAGCCCCATTGTATGGGCCAGATGATTAGCTGCTTGAATTTTCATTCTTATTGATTTCTAGATACATTTTAATTTTCTCATTGATCCAATAATTATTGAACTGTATTTTATTTTATTTTCATATATTTGAGGTTTTCCAGCTTAATTTCTCTAGTTTTATAATGTTATGTTATGATCAAAAAAGGTAGTTGCTAGGATTTTAATTTACATATCCCACCGTATGTTCTATTCTGGATACTGTTCAAGCATAATATCTGAGAAAGTCAATAGCCTCCTTTCAGGAAAAACAGATTTTAATTCTTGTTAAGAGAGTTAAGTGCCCAGTCTGACCTCTGAGAGAGTTCTGGCATCCTTCGGCGATAGATTCACCTTTGGAGAAGTACCTTTGCAAAGAAGCAGCGGGAGTTTGGCAACTTCATTACAACTGGATCTGGTTAAGTTTTACTGTCAGGACATAGAACTAGAAAAGGACTCCGTGTGAGAGGCTAGTACAAACAAGCAAATTTCAGACAGCAGACCAGGTAGTGGAAAAGACTGATGTTCCAGAGAAATCAGAGAACTATCTCATCAGATTGATGAGAATAGATGTACAGCGCGATTACCAAGAAGGAACTCACAGACACTTTTTCTCAGGAGATCTGATCTCTAAAATTCCCGTGTTTCCCTTCTGGATGTCTTTGGGACTCCTCCGAGTCAGATACAAATCCAGGAAGATTCTTTGTTTTTATTCTTTTCTCTTTTTTGCGGCCACACCCAGTGGTGCTCAGAGAGCTTATGCTCAGGGTTCAGTCCTGTTGCATTCGGGGGATCATATGGGATGCCAGGGGTCGAGCCTGGGTCAGCTGTGTGCACAGCAGATGCCCTAACCCTTTGGACTGTTGCCTGAAGATTCTTTTTCAAGAAGTCGGGAAATTGGTTGCAGATGCCTGAGGGGATAGGTAGGACCGAGAAAGCGAATCCTGTGTGTGCTGGAACTAGGCAGCCATCTAGAACTCTTCACTCCTACAGAATCACTTGCATCTCACCAACTGTCCCAGCACAGGCTCTCTGCACTTCACAGCAAAGAGCAGATCAGGAGGCATAGGTGGGTGGAAGGATGTGTCTCAGATCTCTGTAAACTGGACTTAAGAAATGTATTTTGCAAGGTCAATATGATAGGACAACAGGAAGGGTGTTAGACTTGCATGCAGCCGACCTGGGTTCAATCTCCAGCATCTCCTATAGTTCTCTGAGCCCACCAGGAGTAATCCGTGAGCACGGAGTCAGGACTCAATCCTGAGTGTGGCCCCTCCCCCCCCCAAAAAAAGGCCTTGTAGGGAAGGTTGGCTAAAGTATGGTTTCTGCTATTTAAATTGGGGTAGAAAGGATCTCTGAATTACTTAGGAAATATTATGTCTGGTTACATTTTCTTTTCCTGAGAGATACTTTTGAGGGGTCCAGACCTTGAGTGCAATAGGTAGGACATTTACCTTATGTGCTGCCAACCCATCTTTGATCCCCAGCATCCCATATGACCCCAGGAGTGATCCCTGAACGCAGAAACCGGAATAAGCTGTGATAAGCTTTAAGCACTGTCAAGTGTGGGTCCCACCATCACAGAACAAAAAGACAGACATTCTTCTCCCCGCCCCCCTGCCCCCACTTTTTGGGTCACATCCGGCGATGCTCAGGGGTTACTTCTAGCTCATACACTCAGGAATTACTCCTGGCGGTGCTCAGGGGACCATATGGGATGCTGGGAATTGGCCGCGTGCAAGGCAAACACCCTACCCTCTATGCTATTGCTCCAGCCCCAAGAGAGACATTCTTGACCTTACTTCCTTTTGACCTTCAGAAAGCAGAAAGAGATCTCTGGTTCCTTGCTAGATTTTCTATAGATTAATGTGACCTGCACCATGCCTGGGGCAGAGGCTTTACTAACATTGCTTGATTTTTTTTTTCTTTGTGGTGAGTACATGTACTTGTTCAAATCTTTCTTGTTTAAACTGTGTGGTTTACACAGCCTTTTTTCTTCTGTTCTTTGGCCAGATTATTTATGTTATAACTTACTTCAAGTTAATACCTTCCAACATAGGTTCTAAGTGAATTTTTAGTGATAGCTAATTGTTAGGTCACCTTAGTAGTAGGTCAAAGAGAATTTTCACTGTTTATTTTTCACTCATAAATTAATACATTAAAATAGTTTCCATCTGTATTTAAAAATATTTAAATGAAGGTACTGTTGAAATGTTCTCTCATCATATAGCAGGTAGTAAAATTTGTGTACTAAATATTGTACTTCATTTTGGTATAGTCTAAAACAAATTAAGGTTTATTACTGTTAATGGGAATTTAAATTTTATTTTGCACAATGATGACTTTTCTAGATTTGTATGCATCATAAGTGTTTATAAAAGTGTTTAATAGTCCCTTAATAATAATATTAGCCAGCTGATTGCATGCCAAGAAAAATACAGAGCATTCTGAATGTCTTTTCACATCTAATCCTATTAATCCCATGGAAAAGACAGGAAACTATGGTAAGAAATTTGCCGTGTTATATCACATTAGGAACAAAGTCATGACACAAACTCAGACATGTCTAACTTTGGATTCCTTCGGGTTTGTCTTCTACTCGCCTTAAACTTTTTTTTTTCGCCTTAAACTTTTGACAGTGCAGTTTGTCACCTTAGGTCACAAATAAATATCTAAATGTTATTAATTGGCATGGAAGCACTAATGTTGAACATTGTTTCTCTGCCCACCTCCCTCAGGAAGAAACTCTGCACAAATCAACCAGCAGCAGCAGTGTATCACCCTCCTTCCTCGAAGACCCTGTGCTGGAGACCATGGCCACAAAGAAGAGTAAGTGCTCAGGCAGATACCTCAAAAACAAAAACACTTTTCCTACCACAGGAGATTCAAAAGTATCTTTTCATTAGGTATAGAAATAACTAACCCCGTAACCTCACTGATCAGAAGCAGAAGTAGGTATTTCCCTTAGAGGACCATCAAAAAATAGACATGGCGGGGCCGGAGCGATAGGACAGCAAGTAAGTTTTTTGCCTTGCATGCGGCCAACCCAGGTTCAATCCCAGGCATCCCATATGATCCTCCAAGCACTGCCAGGAGTAATTCCTGAGTGCAGAGCCAGGAGTAGCTTACCCCTGAGTATTGCTTGGTGTGACCCAAAAGGCAAAATAAATTAATTAATTAATTAAATAGACATGGCAGTTGGAGAGGGGACATCAGGGACAACAGCTAACCTAATTTTAAAAATAGATAGGAATGTTAGATCGTTTTCCCAAAGAAGATAAGAGGCCAGTAGTTAACATGAAAATTTTCATCTAGTATCTTTAATCATCAGGGAAATACAAATCAAAGCCATAATTAAACATTTCCTCAAACTGTTAGACTTGCTGTTACTACAGCTAACAGAGAAATAATAAGTACTGGCAATGATGGGACGAAAAGGGTCCTTGTGTACTGTTGATAGGAATGGAAATTGGTGCAGTGCTATGGAAAACGGTATGTCAGGTTCTCAAAAAGTGAGGAGAGATACCATCTGATTCTTCCCTTCTGAGTATGTTTCTGTTGAAAACCAAAGTACAGGGAGACATCTCAGTGGGTTGCACACATGCTCAGCCTGCAGGAGGCGGGGTTCAGTGTGTTCCCAGCAATCATGTGCATTATATGGTCCCCTACCACTGCTGAAAATGGTCCCTGGGAACTGCCAGCTGTGACCTAGAAACCTAGCAATGCTCAGGGGTTACTCCTGGCTCTGCACTCAGAGATTTCTCCTAGCAGTGCACAGGGTACCGTATGGGATGCCGGGAATCAAACCCAGGTCAGCTGTATGAAAGGCAAATGGCAAATGCCCTACCTGCTGTACCATCACTCCAGCCCCAAGTTTTATGTTTTAAAAGGAGGAGAGCTCCCTGGGAATGTGGCTCAAAGGGCTAAGGGCATATTTCAACTGTAGGAAGACCACATATCTTCCCTGGCACTGCATGTCCTTAAGCCCCACCACGAGGGATCCATGAAGACAGAGCTAGGAGTAGCCTCTGGTCCCCCAAACAAAAATTAATGAAAAGAACTGGACAGAGGGTGGCTTAGTGACTGAAGGTGGCTGCCTTGCAGGTGTGAGGTCCTGAACTTGATCCCCAGTGCTGCCAACTGCCTGAGCACAGTCCTGGCGATCCAGCACAGTTCATGGTCTCTGGTGCAGGACCAGACAGGCATGCCCAGCACTGCAGCCCAAGGCATTGTCCCAGTACCAATCTACAGATGTGTGGGCATTGCAGCCTGTAGTGCAACCCCTGATGGGCCTGTGTGTGAGCACCACAGCAGCCTGCAGTGAGCCTCCCTGTGTGCAGACCCAGCAGCTACCCTAGCGCTGCCAACCCCAGGGCAGCTCTGGTGTGGGTACCATTTCTCAATGAGTACATGAGTACCATGACTGAGTGTGCAAACGATACAACCAGATGTCTGCTGCCCCCAAAGGGAAAGGACAGGGAGAGTAAATGATCAAGCACGGGAAAGGACAGTATACTTGAGAAACCTTGGTGTCATTTGGGAGTCTTTTATGTTATACAGAATTCCTTTGGTGTGGCTGGAGCGATGGCACAGCAGCTAGGGTGTTTGCCTTGCACACGGCCAACCCGGGATGGTGTCTCAGCATCCCATATGGTCCCCAGAGCACCACCAGGAGTAATTCCTGAGTGCAAAGCCAGGGGTGATCCTGTGCATTGCCGGGTGTGACCCAAAAAGAAAGGAAGGAAGGAAGGGAGGGAGGGAGGGAGGGAGGAAGGGAGGGAGGGAGGGAGGGAGGGAGGGAGGAAGGGAGATTCCTTTTGGAAGGGGTTGGGGGTCAGTACTAGAAATCAGACTTAAATCCACAGCCACCCATGAAAGCAAATGCACTGCTGTGCCACATCCCCGGCCCCCAGATTGCATAGTTTTCTATGGTTTTTAAAGTACTGTCTGAGACTGTAGTTTTAGATAATTCTGGGGAAAGAAGTGTGAGGGGATTTTTTTATGCAGAAATCAGCACCTACTCATATTGTATATTTATGTAAGAATTTGACTATTAAAAACATGGACTGGGGCTGAAGCAGTAGTACAATGGGTAGGGTATTTAAATGTCCTGCACACAGATGACACAGGTTGCATCCCAGCACCCCACATGGTCCCTGAGCATTGCAGGAGTAATTCCTGAATGCAGAGCCAGGAGTAACCCCTGAGCATCATCAGGTGTGACCCCAAAAAATAAATAAAAACACAACTATTTCCCCTTTCACCTTCTCTTAGCTATAACAGATTTACCTTGCAAAGATTGTTCCATAACAACTCAACAGTCTTTTTCTAAGGAACTACAATCCTTTTGTTGTTGTTGTTGTTGTTGTTTTGCCCCTCTGTTCTCAGGGTTTACTCCTGGCTCTGCTCAGGGATCACTCTTTATATGTCACATATATCACATATAGCTAGGACTATATGCGGTGCTGGGAATTGAACCCAGGTCAGCAGCCTGCAAGGCAAGCATTCTACACTGTACTGTTGCTTCAGCCCTAAGGGATGACATCTTTGTGTACCTCTTCAGTGAAATAAGTGCTTCTTCTTGGTGGTGTTTGTCACAAATTTTAATGGGTTTCCTATTAAATTAAAAACCTAAGTGTTTTATTTTGTAAGAAAGTGTATTTTGGTTTGGTTCATTTCATTCATTTCTCTAGAGCCTCCGAAGTTCTTGCCCATATCATCAACACCTCAGCCTGAGAGGCGGCAGGCACCCCAGAGGCGACATTCCATTGAGAAGGAAACCCCCACTAATGTGCGACACTTTCTGCCACCATCCAAGCAGAGCTCTCGGTCTCTCGTAAGTAATCCAGAGACTGTGCGGCCATTTTCATATCTACCGGCTGACCTGGAATCACTAGTTTTCTTGAGGTGGTAATTAAGAGTCCAAATCTTTCAGAGGTTAGAATGAATTTATCTTATCTGGTTTAATAACTAAGGAAATACAACCCTAAGAGCAACCAAAATGAGATTTAACTGTACTGTGTGCCTTTAAAAAGTACATTTTGTTTGCAGAAGACTTTTCAGTTGTGGGAAATATTAAGTGCTTTCTTCCTCTCAAAGAATGTTAATCTAGTTAAAATATGTTAAAACGAATCAAAAATTAAAGTCTGATTGTAATTGTTTCAAAGAAGAAATACTTAGGGAGAAAACTGATATTTTAAAACCATTTGTATTGTTTTTAAGGAAGTGTTTATTGTGGAGATAGACTACAGCAGGTAAGCGTTTGCCTTGCACATGACCAACCTGAGTTCAATCCTTGGCATCCATATGTTCCCCCGAGCCCATCCCGAGTAAGTCCTGATGAATGTGGCCAAAAGAAGAAAGAGAAGAAAGTATTTTTGCACTATTACGGCCAAACCTGCTGCATAGTTTGGTTGGCAGGTTTTGCCATTTTTCAGACTTCTGGATTTATGTAGTGGCTACTCATTTCTCAGGACAGTGGGATAGAAAACACAAGGGCCTGCAGGGGCAGTCAAGTTGCCAGACAAGGAAGTCTGCAGAGATTTCTTTGGTTGGCTCAGTTGGCTTCTTAAATATTTTCAGGTGAGATGTGAGGCTTTCAGTTGATAATTCTGCCAGCAACCTAATATTTGATCTGTTTCAGCTTCGGGCTAAAGAGATACTATAGCAGGTAGGGCTCTTGCCTTGATCGCAGCTCACGGAGGTTCAGTCCCCAGTATCCCATTTGTTTCCTCGAGCACCGCCAGGAATAATTCCTGGGTGCAGAACCAGGAGAAACCCTTGAGCATCACCGGGTGTGGCCCCCTCCAAAAAACAAACCAATTTGTTTAAGTGTCATCTAAATAAGAAACAAAAATTTATTTAATCCATACTTATAGGCTGTAAGGAATCACCAGGAGTTCAAGCAAAGTAATAACTGAAATCTGTTGGAGTTGCTGATAGCAAAGCTCCTAAACCAACTGGATCAGCTGAACTGCGAGAATGCTTCCAGGACCCGGACATGGTGCCTGGAAATTCCTGGTTAGATTAATGATTGGTAGTCACTGGTGGTCGGGTTTGGAACTTGGGATGTTGATACCTATGGAATCAAGACAAATAACTGATTGATTGGTAATAATGGAACCTAGACAAATAACTGATTGGCAGTATCCCTTCCTCAAAGCAAAAGGAAATTGAGTGACTGTTGTAGAGATTCTGTGTTAGAGCGGAGCTTAGAGTGTTAAAGTTTCATCAGTCATCTTTTCCCCCCAACAATGTGACATGAGAACTAAATATGTCATGGTATCTCTGATAGAATTCCCCAGACTCCTAATCACCAGAATACTGCTATTTGTGAAATATAGTGTCAGTGATTTAACAACAGGAAAACAGAACTCTCATGAAACAAATTCAAGCTTTAAAATCCAAAGACTTTTTGTAATATGAAAGTTACTGCTTTAGCACAGGATACAAGAAGCTAGAGAGATAATCATGGGGTTAAGCTACTTGCTTTGCTTATAGTGACCCCAATTCAGACCCTGGAATTACATATGGCTCCCCGGGTACTGCCAGATATCACCCCTGAGCAAAGAGCCATGAGTATCCCCTGGGCACTGCCAGGTGTAACCCAAACCCACCCTCAAAATAAGAAATAAAAAATAAAAGTGTCTAAGAGGCCTTCGTATCTTAGAGCATCAGCCTGGCAAGTGTGAGATTTTGAGTTTAAACTCCGGTGCTGCTCCATGCCAAAGTGAACCTGAAAACTCCAGTGTCTCTGAAGTCCTTCTGTTTCCATAATCTCAGTAATTCAGACAACCTCCTTTTCACATGGTTCTTCCTAATCAAGAGCCACATTCTTGATCAGAGGGATGGCTTTTCTTTTCTTTTTTTTTCTTTTTTTGGGTCACACCTGGCGATGCCCGGGGGTTACTCTTGGCTCTGCACTCAGGAATTACTCCTGGCGGTGCTCAGGGGACCATATGGGATGCTGGGAATCGAACCTGGGTTGGCCGCGTGCAAGGCAAACACCCTACCCGCTGTGCTATCACTCCAGCCCCAGGGATGGCTTTTCTTGGTAGCCATAAATTCACATCTGTTTTGTGTTCCTCTAGCTTGGTAAGTATTATTTTTTTCAAAAATAATAAAAATCCTGTTCTCCATACAGTTATGTTCCTGGTCTTGTGGTCATGACATCATTCTTAGGGTTAGACTTAAAGTTAAAATTATTGGGGCCAGAGCAATAGCATAGTGGGGAGGGTACATGCCTTCCACATGGCTGACCTGGCTACAATCCCCAGCGTCTCCTTTGGATGCAGTCCCCTCACCCTACCAGGCATGTACTCTGAGTGCAGAGCCAAGGGTAAGTCCTGAGCACCGCTGGTTGTCACCCAAAAGCCAACCAAAGAGAAGTTAGTATTATTAATGAGAGTGCTGGAGAGAGGACAGGAGCAAGCCACTTGCCTTGTACACAGCAACCCAGATTCGATCCCTGGCATCACAGTTGATTCCCCTAAGTTCCATCAGGAGTGATTCCAGAGCACAGAGACAGGAATTAGCCTTGGGCACCACCGAATACAGCCCAAAATATAGGAAGGAACTGTCAGATCAACTGCAAAAGCGTTTCTGTTAGTAAAGACAGATACCCGCATCAGAGGCCCTTGATGTAAATTTCCTGGCAAAAAGGGAACTCTGAGTTGTTGGTGGTTGAGTTGTGAGTCATTTTTGTGAACTCTGAGTGCAGAGCCACTATCATTTCGAGATGACCCACTATCAGTCTGCAGTCCCAGAGAAGGGTCCCAGTGACCCGATAATCGGAGGCCTCTGTCAGCACTGAATGTAGTTGTGCCCCACTGGACCTGCTTCCCCCATGTGTCACCAGCTGAGATAGAGCCACATTCTTGATCAGAGGGATGGCTTTTCTTTTTTTTTTTTTTCTTTTTTTGGGTCACACCTGGCGATGCCCGGGGGTTACTCTTGGCTCTGCACTCAGGAATTACTCCTGGTGGTGCTCAGGGGACCATAAGGGATGCTGGGAATCGAACCTGGGTTGGCCGCGTGCAAGGCAAACACCCTACCTGCTGTGCTATCACTCCAGCCCCAGGGATGGCTTTTCTTGGTAGCCATAAATTCACATCTGTTTTGTGTTCCTCTAGCTTGGTAAGTATTGTTTTTTTCAAGCATGGTAATTTAAAAAGTTAACTGAGAATTTAGGGGAAATGATCATTTATTTATAATCCCTTCCATGAAGAAATATCTTTGTTATTTTACATTTTCACTTTTTATCAACTCCCTTTTGTTGGGGTAGTCTAAATATAATCCTTTTCATAATGAGGTGAAATGGTTGAAGGTAATTTGCCGTCTGAGTGAGTGGCAACTTGTCTTTCGCTGGAGGAAGAAAATGACCACATGGGATGCATTCCCACAGTTGCCTCTGACCCCATCCATCCCAGCAAACCCCATGTTATTAGAGATTCAGTGTTCACAGTACAGATAAATGAGTAGGAGATAAATAGATGAGGAGAATATGCAGTGGATGTCTCTGCGTGTGAACTCTGAGCTTCTCTATGAATGACTTCCTGGTTGGATTGCTGGTTTATACATTGGCCGGAGATATAAATGCGTCAGGTGTGGAATCTACCATTCACATTCTTCATTGTGGTTATGTTTTGTTTCCATGCTGTGATCATTGTTTTCAGGTCTCTTACGTTCAGTATTATTTTCTCCTTTTCTTTTCCCCCTGCCATTTTCTTTTTCCCTTATCTATTGTTCAGGTTCCTAGGATAACCAGTGTATGGCCACGGACGCCTTTCCGACCACTTTTTTCTGCCATACAAACAGCTTCTCTGCTGAGCTCTCATCCTTTTGAAGCAGCCATGTTTGGGGTAGCAGGGGCTATGTATTATCTCTGTGAGAGAGCTTTTACCAGCAGGTGGAATTCCTCAAAGGTTGGCCTCTTTCCACTGGTTCTGGGAATCACCTCCTTCTCTCTTTGACAGTGATACCTCAGCTATTGCACTCTGCAAGAATTAACAGCTTAGATGGGCACTTCGCTTCTGATCATTGATTCCAATCGTCTGTAGGATGCATAGATCACACCAGATCTCAATCGAGAGGAAAATAACTTTGAAAGGACAACAAACTCAAAATGCAGCATTAGATCAGAGAGACCAGAGAAATTTGTTTCTTCGCACAGCCCAACGATGCAACAGTAGGAACGCCCTCACTCCCTCTCCTTGTGCAGGCCACGTGGAGATCCTGGGAGGACCTTCACCCCACGGCTCCCCCGATACAGGAGGAGCATGAGCTCCCTCTTTCCCTGGCACATGGCCTCCTGCCAGCCAGGCAGACGCAGGGGACACTCTGTTGCCCACCAAGCCCTGCTCTGCCCGCCTCCCGCACACTCTCCTCCAGGCCTGTGCGTTGGTGTACACGGTGTTGGGGTCTCCAATGTTGGCCCCTGAGGGGCCAGACCGACTTGCTCTGCCCCCCCCCCCAGCACCTCTCATAAAGCTGTGATGGTGTTTTTGAGGCTGTTTTTGTGGTTTCTTGTTAGCCCACCTCTCAGTAGAGGAAAATCTACTTTCTTTTTTTATTTATATGGGGATTTAGGGTCTTTAAAATGATTCTGCATTTCTCATTGTTGGTTTTGAGATTTTTATTTTTCATACCGGACTTATTTTTGAAGAAATCATCATAATCTCTCCAAACACGGGTGAAGTCAAACCCCCTTTATCCCACCAAAGCTTCTCTTGTGCCCGTGTCGTGCATTCTCCTGAGAGCGCTGGCAGCAGCCTCACCACCTGCCCAGTTGCAGGCCTGCCTCCAGGGTCCCAAGTGGAGCTTAGACATATGATTAACCAATGGCTGGTTTCTTAGTTATTCCTTCCAACCCATCAAGGTGTAGAAGAGAGATTCCGAATGTAAGATAGACAACAAATCCCTTTCTCTGTCCCAGGATGTAGGGTAACTTCTGATTGTTTTGCCATTTTAGATGTGGTCCAAGGGTGATGCAGGGATGGCCTTTAATCTCCATCACTCACCTGCCATCACTAGAAATCTGCCAACAGTTTCATTTTTATTATTGATACTCCCCAAAGAGAGGTGCCTGTGCATAAACTCTACATATTAAAGAATCCCCTGTCCATATTTAAGTTAAATTTGAGAAGAAAAAAAGCAGCATGCTGGAGTTGTTTCTGTTTACCCCTGCTTCCTTTTGGTTCATTAAAAATTCAGAAGACAACTTTGGATCATTTTCTTTGGATAATTTTCAAATGTCTGCTGCTTATTTATGAAGTTTTTGCCAATCAGGAGCATTGTAAAAATAAGTTCTAGAGGCACATGATGTACTCCTAGAACATATTATAACCTTTATTAAAATGCTTTATGATGTAGTTTCCCTTTCCTAAATTGGGGAGTCATGTTGAAGCACCACGAAGCAAGGGAGTTGCTGTCATAGTTCGTGTCTGGCTGTGAAAATGACCTTTAGTGCTTGGGTTGGGAGTAACCAAGTCCAGGATAATAATGAGAAAAGGACTTTCATTTTTAAAACTCCAGATGCTTTCTACGTCATGAAGCAATAGCTTCTAAGTAAGATCTGTTAAGGTTTAATTTAGTTGGAAGAATGTTCAAGTAAAGTCTTTGTCATTTAAAAAAATAAGGAAAAGTATACTAGCAATCGTTTATCCTTTTCTTTCATGTTGCATTCAAGATTTGTTGTCCTTGGAAACGCTCCAGAATTAAAACATTAGCATTTGACCTGGTGGAAATTAATAAAGAGTAATCTGCTTGAAATTTTAAAAACAACAACAGAAAATAATAGGAACCAAAAAAAAAAAATAAATCTCTGACTTCTTACTGAGGTCTGTGCAATACTGAATTTACATTTGATTCAGAATAAGTTGAAAAGAAGCTTGACGAGGCTCTTTTGTGACCAAAGACCACGTGTGGAAGCATAAGTATGTACAGATTTACACTGAGTGCAGGAGACATCCTGCAGCTAAAAAGGATTCCTACTCCAGTCTACCTGAAATGTTTACCAGCCAGGCATCCGTTGTAAAGTTATTTGGTTGGTTATTTTATTCCTACAATATTTTGTTGCTGTTAAGCAGTTTTGTCCCATAGCTACCTGAAAACTTACCACAATCATACTCTCTTATGAAAACAACTAGGAAAACATATTAAATAAATTTTAAGAAAAACATATTAAATAAGTGTAACACAGAGAAAAGCCATGTGTCAGATTTTTGTACCCAATCTAGCACATGATTTTAGTGGTGTGACCTTCACACAGGCAATGATCTTTCCCACTGGGCACTACTGCCCTCTTCTCAGGATTGCAAAACAGAATAGACAGTGGACACATTGATTGAAACTTTGGCCTTTGAGAGAAAAATTTGCATGATGATATTTTAGAAAATATTTTCAAAATCTTAGAACAAAAGATTTAATCAACATATACAAAGCCTTTGTCTTAAAAATCAATTGCAGGATTTTTGTAGAAAGCATTTTAAAGCAAATTCTTTTTTTTTTTTAAGTTAGCTTGAATAAGTAAATTTTATATTGATTGGTTGTAAGGGCCAGTAGTTCTTCAAACTCCTTTTTTTTATTTATTTCTTTTAAAAAATTTTTTTAGTAAATGCTAATGTTTGTTACATCTGCAACCTAGATTTGTTTTTGTTTTTCTCTGATTGAAAGACAGAACTGAATGTTAAAATTCCATAAACTGCATTCATGGTCATATGCTTTCACTTGGCTTCTTTGATTCCCGAATGCCTGTGAGCAGTGCTATTGTGTGTGTGTGTGTGAGTGAATTATAATGTGTTTGTGCTGAGAACATTAAGTTTCAGTGTCACTACACCACAATGGCCCTTGTGAAGCCTGGCAGGGTACAGAAGCCCTCGCCTGTTCTGTCTTTCTCTTAGATCCGCCAATCAAGTGCAGGGCCGGATGGGGAGCAGATGGGCGTTATTCAGTGGGATCGGTTACATCAACATCTTCCTCAGCTGTTTTTAGGGAAGCCATTAACATGAAAGGGCCAACATAAATATTTATTGTGAAATTCTGAGTTTTTCCACATCTCTCCAGTGCTGACTCTGCATGTAGCACTTGTAAAAAAGTAATAAGAGAAATCCAGAGCCGGGCAGGGTGTAGGGACAGCCTCTTGGCTGTCTGCTGTGCCAGTCGTTACATTTTCCAGTCTACTCAGATTGTTAGGATTTTTAAAGATGTGCTGATGTAACAAGCCACTGAATAATGCCCCTCAATATAAATTACTAACCTTCTTTCGGCTATTCTGGGAACCACACACAATTTTTTTAAAAATCAGTAAAGCAACCAATGTGGTAGATTAAATATAGTAAGTGTAGATGCTAAGTGATACGTATATAGTAAATAACCCAGTATTAGGTAAAGTTTTTGTGAGTAGTCACAGGAATAAAGCTGACATAAATTTGGTTGAGAACAATAAATTTCATTTCAAAACTTAAATATATAGATGAAAAAATTGTCTGCTTAATATAATACAGATACTTGAGGGAAAATGTCTAAACAGACATAAAGAACTTTCATTTGCTGGAAATTTTGAAACCCTACGGTGGTTCACATCATCCTCAGGAGTTTCCTGCCATCTGTTGTCTTAATGCAGTTAGGAACTGTGGTCCCCAGAGTGAGCCGCTTGCTCCCAGTGTTACTGGGAAACCTCTTTTCTTCTCTGAAACTACTAACCAAGTATTTGATCTGAAGGGAAGTTTTGCAGTGCCAGAAAAGGGAGCGTGGAAAGGGTCTTATTCATGTGGAACTTTGAATTTCAGGAGGAATTCTGCTACCCAGTGGAATGCCTCGCTCTTACTGTGGAGGAAGTGATGCATATTCGTCAGGTCCTGGTGAAGGCAGAGCTGGAGAAATACCAACAATATAAAGATGTCTACACCGCCCTGAAAAAAGGAAAGGTAGAGCTGATTCAAGTCAATCCATGGCAGGATGAGGGAAGTGGGCCGGTCAGGTGTGGGCTGAGCTGTCTGCTCTCCAGGTGGTACAAGATTTTGTGGGGATTCTAGGAGATAAGAGGCAGATTCTCTGGGAGCTGGTTCCTGTTTTGCCCAGGCTCACAGAAGCAGGATTTTGTCTCTAAGAGACAAATAGCTGTGGTAGGTTTAAGGCAGCTATAAAAGGGGCTGGAGAGATAGCACAGCGGGTAGGGCATTTGCCTTGCACGCAGCCGACCCGGGTTCAATTCTCAGCATCCCATATGGTGCCCTGAGTGAGCACCGCCAGGAGTAATTCCTGAGTGCAGAGCCAGGAGTGACCCCTGTGCATCGCTGGGTGTGACCCAAAAAAGAAAAAAGAAAAAAAAAGACAGCTATAATAGTAATCACATGCCTTTATGAAACCACATATATATATATGTATATATATAAGCATATCTTCAAAGATCTATAAAGAACTTGAGAAACAGACTCCCAGATCTTTGGGTTGCTTCCATGACCATGAAACCCTGAGAGCCATTGGTTCTCATCGCCTTTAAAGGTAAAATAGTAGGGACCAGGGTATATGTATGTATACCATATACCATATATTTATCTTATATATGTAAAGCCCTGAGTTTGATCCCCAGCACTACAAAAATTATGAGAAAATTTGCATCAAATTTTATATAACCACTCTATAATTACCAAAGTTAAATAGAAAAATGAGATTTCTGAATTTTTTTCCTCAGGAGTTTACTAAATTTCTCCAGTTTATAAATAGAAAGTATGTTTAAACACGCACATTAAAAAAAAATAGCCATTGGCAATGCCATTTTTCTTCGTTTTAAATTTGTATTTTTTAGCTCTGCTTTTGTTGCCGAACCAGAAGGTTTTCTTTCTTCACCTGGTCGTACACCTGTCAGTTCTGTAAGAGGTAAGGTTCTTCAGTAATTGGTTTAAAAGCTAGATTAACAGTGGTCAGAGAAACTCATCACCTTTACTGTTTCATCAGATACTACTTTATTATTTTTCACACAAAACAGTATTTGGTATGATAATTGACGTTTTACTCAATTATTTACTCAATTTAATCAATTTACTCAATTATTTACTCAATTACTCAAGAGACAAGAAAATTTCAAAGAGTTTTCTTAGAAAACTGTTTTATAGACTGGTTGTCCTTTTGGCAACTCAACAGTTGCATGACTTTGTTCCATTTAGATAGTAAAACCAGAGTTACTTTGCAGTTTATTGTAGAAATTCAAAAGCATGCAGCTTCTCTGACCCTCCGTGGCATCCCTACTGTTATGCTAAATGATCCTTCTGATTTTCAATACAGGCCGGTGTGCTCACAGTGCTGCAAAAAGGTAAGCTAAGCTTGTTGGCATTCTCGGTCACATGGATTTAAAGGGCAGCCTCTCTGGTAACACAGCTCATTCTCGGTTTGATTTGGGATAACAGATGCGGCTGCCCTCCAAGCCATATTCCACTCTTCCTATCTTTACATTGGGACCTTCTACCTTGCAAAGAGGGGAAAGTTCTCTGAGGCCCGAAAAGCCCTCCTCCAGCCACCATCGGCCCCTTCGGAGTATTGCCAGGTAAGGGACGGGGTGGTCTCCAGAGCCACCTCTGAAAAAATAGAGGTGCTGGTTTATCTTAATACAGTTGTGCGCAAATTTCTGAAACTTCTCTAAAGGTAATGAATTAATAGTGTCTGACTAGTACCTTAATACTTTTCCCTCCTTCTTTAGAAATAATTAACAGGTCCTTTAAAAGTCAGTTTTAGGGGCCAGAGACTACAGCAAGTAAGATTCTTGTTTTGCACACAGCCAGCTCAGGTTCCATCCCTGTGACTTCATCTGGTCTCCCAAGTCCTGCTATGAGTGATCCCTGAGCATGAGTAAGCCATGAGCAGAGCCCGGTGTGGGCCCACACACACACCCTGACCCCAAAAGGAAGAAATGAATAAAAGTCATCTTTAAAACTGAACCTGTTTTTAGTGGAGTTGAAAATTTATAAGAGGGGCTGGAGTGATAGTATAGCAGGTAGGGCATTTGCCTTGCATGCAGCCGACCTGAGTTCGATTCCCAGCATCCCATATGGTCCCCTGAGCACCGCCAGGAATATTCCTCAGTGCAAAATAAGGAGTAACTCCTGTGCATCGCTGGGTGTGACCCAAAAAGCCAAAAAAAAATTATAAGAAATTCTAGGAGTTAAGGATACAGCTCAACATAACTTTGATGCTAGAGAGAGAGCTCAAAATATGAGCACTTGCTCTGCCAGCAGAAGGCTGGGATTTGATTACTCCAGCACTGCATGGTCCCCTGAGCAATGTCAGGAGTGGCCCCTGAACACAGTCTTATCTTTCCTTTTCAGTTTTGAAAGAAAATCTGTTTACTTCTGTCTTTTCAGCAGTCTGCAAGATCTTTGAGTTAACTTCCCTGTCCTAAAGGCAGAAATATAGCTTTGCATTTCTACAAAAGCCAGCAATTTTCAAAAGAAAAGGGCCTTTGCCTTTGATGCAGAATATAGTTAGCACTGGCCTTAAGAAAGACAAAAGCGGGGCTGGAGCGATAGCACAGCAGGTAGGGCGCATTTGCCTTGCACGTGGCTGACCCGAGTTCGATTCCCAGAAACCCATATGGTCCACCGAGCAACTGCCAGGAATAACTCCTGAGTGCAGAGCCAGGAGTAACCCCTGTGCATCGCCGGGTGTGACCAAGGGAGGGAGGGAGGGAGGGAGGGAGGGAAGGAAGGAAGGAAGGAAGGAAGGAAGGAAGGAAGGAAGGAAGGAAGGAAGGAAGGAAGGAAGGAGGGAAGGAGGGAGGGAAGGAAGGAGTATGTCAGGCCAACTAGGGTCACAGGATGACAGAGCTGGTTGGAGTTGCACTCACCAGCTTCAACTCTCAACAAAGGAATTCTGGTGCCAAAAGCTTGTCAGCAACTGCCCTTGCATGTCCCGACCCCAGAGACAGAGTCAAAGGACTGAGTGAGTCCAGCAAACAGTGCTGAGCTTCAGCCTTGCTCAGAAGCAGTCTTGGCCTCATTGTGGATCATCATCCGTCAGTGGGCTCAAGACCACACAGAATTATTCCTTCTGTACACTCTGACCCACATTCTCGTTTAGCCTAATAAAAACAGTGAATGATGAGTAGATGATTCCTTCTTAACTCAAGATATGACCAGAGCTTTCATTATGATACTGTAGCTAGTCCCCCAAAGAGAGAGAGATGTTGGGGTGAAGGAGGCACAGTTGATCAGTGTAAAATGGCAAGAGAGCAGGACTACAGGACAAAACAATTCTACAGGATGAGTCACAGGATTAAGATGAATTGGCTTCAGTTTCCTGTAGCCTCACCTGCCGTCTCCAGCCAACTAATGCCCATTGGTCAGAACCCAGGAGAAAAGGCTTCAAATTCCTTCTGAATGTCAAGAAAACATCAGCGGTGTACATTTCATTTTAGTTGTTAACATTCACTAAAGCCCATGCATGGTTTGACTATTCTACTTTTCAAAAACTCTGGGAGAGGTAATGATTTTCAATATTACCTTTTAATGAAAGAACTTTCTTGTTTTTTTTTTTTTAATAAAATACTTTTGAAATTTGTCTTAAAGTAGAAATTCTTCACGTGACAGGATTAAATCCCTGGCTAGTTCCATAATGTTGTGGCCACAAATTGACTTTCACTTTTTTCACATATGCTTTCTTAGTATTGTGGTAAACATATAAGTAACTGGCCATCTTGGTGTCCCTCGCCCACACAGGTTCTCCTCAAAGTCGAAGTCTGTGGACAAATCTGATGAAGAATTGCAGTTCCCAAAAGAGCTAATGGAGGACTGGAGTGTGATGGAGGTGTGTGTAGACTGCAAAAAATTTATCTCGGAAATCATCAGCTCAAGCCGACGCAGCCTGGTGTTGGCCAACAAGAGAGCGCGGTTAAAAAGGAAGACGCAGTCTTTCTACATGTCATCTGCAGGCCCCTCAGAGTACTGCCCCTCTGAGAGGACTATCAATGAAATCTGAGCCTGCGCCATGGGGCTGCCTGGGCGTCTGCGTCTCCGTCTCCGTTAGTGCAGGAGAACACTGGGCGGGCCCATCTCTCCCAGCCAGGCTTTTAGTTCATGGGCTCGAATTTGCATTAGATCAGGCGTTTGCTGCATCACCGTGTTCCACAGACTTGAATGCCGTGTTCCTACCGATCTGGTGTGTGACCGAGTCTCCGTTGCTCATTCACGCTGAGACAGGACAGGTCTGAAGCTTGCCTCTGTGTGTATGTGGGTTTGGAAGACAGAAACTTTTTCCCCCCTTCGTTCAGTTCTTTACTGATCCTCACATAATTTCCTGACAAAGGCCAAAAGCTTCTCCTGGGAGAAAGCAGCCTCACAAAGGTGTCGATATGAGCACAGCTGAGCAGTAAGTCATATTGGCACTCTGACGCGACAGTGTTCTAGCTAATGTACATAGTGATCCCACCAGCCCCCTCCACACTGCACACCTGCAGGCAGCCGGGGCCAGACAGTCTAGCCTCTCACCGCACAAGTCTGTGGATCTGCTAATACTATCACACTTCCTTTAAATTATTGTTGCTCTGAGATAAGGGCTGCCGGGAGACTTGGTTCCTGCAGACAGGTACAAAATAATCAGAATAAGCTGTAACCCCAAGTGGGTGACCATTTCCTCTGAGCTGCTGTGTTTGCCCTACATTCTCCTGGGCAGATAACAGATTTTCAATCCCGCTCTTGAATGTATTGTGGCGCTAGTCGTTTCATAACACAGGTCTGAGAATTAAAGTTCTGCAGGAAAGATCAAGGAAGGTTCAGAGTTCGTCAGCAAGTTGGATTATCATCTCTTCAGCTCCGTAGAGGGCCATGAGAGCCCCTGGACCCAGGGCAGTGTCTCTCTGCAGGAGCTGGGCTGCAGCACATACATTTTCTGCTACATTTTCACAGGTGTATATTCTAGCCCTCGCATTGAAATTAAGTCACAATTTGGTATGTAAGGTCTCAAAGTAAACTTTATTTTTATAGATGAATTTTGAAAGACAAATAATTACCAGTTCTTGGAAAATTACAGAAAAACATAACCTCCTGAGAGGCTTTTGTACAAGTTCACCTTGTAAATGACTTGAATGAATGCAGTGGGTTTTTGATGACTATAGTGTGGAGGGAAAGCACTGTATCCCAAAAATTTTAGGGATGGTTTTGCCCATACCATGACCAATACGTTCTTTTTTCGTTATGCTTAGAAATGACCCATCAAATTGCCATGAATGTTTGGAATATCAGTTGATGCCATGCACTGTACTTTCATAAAAGCTATGAGACACATCCATAGTCAACACTATGTACCATTTAAAAAAGTTTTTTTTTTTAATTTGGGGGGGTCTCACCCAGCTCCATGCTTGGGTGGCTCCCAGCGGTGCTTGAAGGACCATGCGGTACTGGAGATTGAACCCAGGCCATCCTGCATGCAAAGCATGACTGCACCGTTTAAATCACATTTCATACCACATCAAGAACATTTTCTATATTAAATTAACAGTAATACCTCAAAAACTGCTCTGGTAGTAGTTTTTAATGGATTGAAAGTTAAAAGTTTAGTGAATGGCTTGATATTACTTAAATTTATGAAATAAACTGCCAATTGACTAAAATAATGCATGTTAACAGTTCTTCTGTATTTGCATGTAAAAGTGGGCCACCAGAGAACCCTTACTGATTATACACAGTGTTTAAATTATTTTCAAGACTTTTAAAAATAACTTTTAACATTATTGTGGGTGAAAACAATTTACAAAGGTTGATTTGAATTCTGTACCCCAGATGGTTTGGTGGGAACCAGCTCCACTGAAGGCCCCAGATTTGAGTCTCCATATAGAAACATGCCATAGAATAGTGTGTTTCTTCAAATACTGGCGAGTTTACTATTGTCGTTAAAACCTAAGAAATCAAACCACCAGAGTGAGAATTTCATTCACAAGGCACTTAGCTATCTGGTGTATATATATGTGGCCTCTTTTCTTCACAGTCTTGATACTGTATAGACTGATCTGGGTATTGCCACTCACCTGAGCATTAAAAAGGAAATCCTTCAGCAGCATCCGTGAAGTTTGTCACGTACCTTAAAGAGGCCAAGCAGGTATCTGTCTACGTGAGACCAGTTGTAGAAACTAGTATACGACCACACAACACAGTTAATATTGTTTGTAAAAATATCAACTTAGCATCACCTTTTAGTGCCAAAACAAATTCTAGCAATTAAACCTGCATTATCCATGATGTGTACCTAGCACATCACCCAAGATAGGTGAACTGTAGAGGGCAACTAAGGAACAGCTTGTGGATGTGGTTTTACAATCCTTGGCATCAGACCGTCAGGCTCCTTACAACTTCCTCCTTCCTTACTACTGAAGTTAACATGTCTTCGAAGCATTCCTCTTTGTCCCTGTTTGCAGTTGTTCAGCATTTTCGTCTGATCCGTCAACAGCATTGTCATTTCCTGTCAGGTCTCAGAGCCTGATGTGTCCTAGAGCTTTTGTACACTCTTGAGCAGTTGCTATCCCCGACTCTGACCCCCCAGCTCCTTCCTTTAGACCCAGCACACTCCTGTGTCCTGTACCTCATAAAGTTGCCCAGCTAGGGGGTCCTTGTTTCCCTCCCCCATGACTTAATTTTCAGTGTCAGAATAAGAAAGGTTGTAAATACTGTAATATATTTATTAATATTTGAAAGGTATTCAGTGAATAATGGGAACTAACTCTCCCAAGGCAAGTAAAAAATTAAATATTCCATAATTTCGTTAATTTAACAGTCTTACTAGAGTACAGGTCTTAAGCCTGTCAGAATAAACCAGAAGGTTGTTATGTAGGAGTTTCACAAATGATCTTACCTTTGGAGAGATTGTGTGAATAGCACATGAACTCGTATCATGAATTTTTAAGGCTTTTATTTTTCTAATTGTATTAATATAGGGCTGGATTTAGGTATCCACTTAAGGAAACGTGAAAATTTTTTAATTATGTTGCTATTTGCTGAAAGCAAAGTAGCAGGAAGTTTTGTACAGGCAAAACTGTGGAAAGGCCTTGGAGAAACGTGTAATGCAGGCTGGACTCTGACCTGGGTTCCTGTGTGTACGAAAGACAGGCGTTGGTGGCATTCATAGTGACGTGATGGTACTGAACACTTCCCGTTAAAGTCTTTGACTTTCCAATTTGTCTAGGGAAAAATAAAATGACTTTCCATCATACTTTGTGTGGAGTTTCTATTGTAAAATGGTGGTGTCTCTTGCCCTCTTCCTGTTAGAAATCGTCTAGGTTAGGAAGGCAATAACCCCCTCTTTTTTTTTTTTAACCTGTAGTAACTTCTGATCAATATGCAAATATAATCTGATGAGGGCCACATTTGAAAAGAAACTAGAAATGGAACTATTATGTCACTCTACCTTTCAGGGTTCCCATGTGTGAGGCTTCTCTCTATCTCCATCTCTCCCCTCCCGCTCCCTCTCTCTTTCCCCTTCCCCCCATAAGAAAATCAAATTCTGGAGCCAGAGACACAATACAGTGAGTAGGATGCTTTCCACCCACCTAACCCGGGTTCAATCCCCGGCATCCATATGGCTCTGAGCATGCCCCAGCATCCCATATGGCTCAGGAGTAAGCCCTGAGCATCAACAGGTGTGGACCCCCCAACCCAACCCACCCAAAATAAGTTCAATTTCTATATATAGTTTATAACATTTTATTATACAAGACACATACATGGTGAGAAATAAGTATAGACAGGCAAAGCTTTTGTGATATGTTTTATTTTTCTAAATAGACTTTGTTTTCTAGATCAAAAGAATTGCAAAAGGGCTGTATTTTTCAAATGTCCCATGATAAAAAAAAAAAATTACCTGAAGTAACCCTTAGAAGCTTAAGTAAAATTAGATTAAACTCGGAATGAAGTTAGGAGAGTTCTGTATATTAGCTGAATAGCACCACTGGCCCTCTTCATCTATTACACATAACGTGGTATGGAGTCTAACATGAATCCACTTACACAGCCAATTCCTTTCTTTGCTGGAAGTGTCTGAGGGTCTCCTTCCATTGAAATGCCTCTGTGAAATGTGTGTAATGCCACTTCTCTGTGTATCTGGCTCCTAACCAAATGCTCGATGCTTTTCTAAGTCCAAGGACTCGACCTGTGCCTCCCAGATACCAGAGACAGAAAATTCAAAGAAGAACAAAACTTTGGGTAACCCTCATTTGCTATATCTTTTGCTTCCCAGCTCCGTTTGAAAAAAATATATATATGTGTGTGTGTGTGTGTGTGTGTATATGTATATATATAATATATATGTAAGCACAGCATAACATTACCAAGTTTCACAAGAGAACTCCTAGGAAAGGACTTCCTAGCACTTTCCACAAATCTCAGGGCTTCGGGGTTTTTTGTTTGTTTGGTTGGTTGGTTGGTTGGGGGAGTCAGGGGGATTTATTTTTGGGCCAAACATGGGCATGCCCAGAGCTTACTCCTGGCTTTGCACTCAGAACTCACCCTTGGTGGGCACCCTGGACCATATGGGGTACCAGGGATCAAACCCAGTTCAGCCGCATGCACTGTCGCTCCAGGACTTCGTTTTCTGTTCTCTGAGGGAAGTGCCTGTACCCGAGCAGCCACAGCCATGCTTGCACTGTTCACCCAGGTCCTGCTCTATCTTCCCTCAGAGCAGCCGCGGGCCGTCTAGAAACACATCCCTTTGCCCACCAGCCCCCAAAAAGGTATTTAAGAACTAAGAACCTACTATTTTATTTAAATGCCTACACTAATTATTTCGAGTGGAGTTGAATTTGTATCCTTGTTCTGACGTCTCATTAAAATGTGTGCGATTTCAAATTTAGATTTTACTACATAAAAACATTTGGCAGCTCTCTTCTGCCGGATTTTAAGTGAGTGACAAAACTTTGAATAATATTGAAGCCGTGGAAACAAAAGGACATCAGAATTGACAGGACCCTGCTTTTTATTTGTTTTTGCTTTTTGGGTCACACCCAGTGATGCTCAGGGGTTCCTCCTGGCTCTGCACTCAGGAATTATTCCTGGCGGTGCTTGGGAGACTATATGGGATGCTGGGAATCGAACCTGGGTTGGCCGCGTGCAAGGCACACGCCCTACCCACTGTGCTATCACTCCAGCCCCAGAACACTGCTTTTTAAAAGTGGGCTGTGAAGAATAGACTTCAGGAAGTTCATTCAGATCCCTAAGTTTTCAGAGCTACAGAGCCGTCTATGTACTTGAACCTGTGCCTTGTCTGACACAACCAGAGTTTCAGATTTCTTTTGCTACCCAGAGGCTCAGCGCTGAGAACGTGCTCGGAGAGCTCTGCCAGCTGTTAGAACCTGAGCATATGTCAGCTGAAGAAAACTGGGAATTCCCTGTGGTTAGCAAGGAGCAAACTTGCTCACTTCAAGTTAGCCTTCACCCCTTGTTTTGGGGCCACTCCTAGTGGTAGGAGGCAGAAGGGATCATGCAGGGTCAGTGCAGGGGCTCCAAAATGCAACCTTATGCCCCAGCCCTTTGAACTATCTCCCAAGCCTTCTGTGTATTCTTTGCTTTACTATACCCTTGTGGCTACAGGAATCACCCCGGTCCCTTATTCTCGGGTGACACAGCAGAGAATGTCATATCCCAACCTCTCCCAGGAGCAGTACTGTTTAGGAAAACGAAATGCCAAAGAGGAATTGAGGATTTCTGTAGGACTAACCTGAATATCAAGTTTCTAAGCCAACAGTGTGGGAAAGCAAGCAGAGAGGAGAAAGACAGAGAACGGGTACATCCAGTACAACGGGTACTGGAAACTGGAGACTAGAAAACAGAAAACGGGGGGCTAGAGCGAGTGTATAGGGGCTAGGGCGCTTACCTTGCATGCCACTGACCTAACTTCGACCCCTGACATCGCATAGGGTCCCCAGAGCACTACTATTAGCACAGAACCAGGAGTAATCCTTGAGCATCACTGGGTGTGGCCCCCCAAACAAAAAACAGGAAACTAAAATACTTCTACTTTTTAGAGGGAAGAAACTTGTATCTGAGACATTCCCAAAATAAGTCTAAGAAGATTTCAGCTTGTCCACTAAGAAGATGAGGCTTGAGATTTTATTATAAAAGGTCCCTGGGCAAGATATAATCTGCTAAAAATTCTGGTATGCAATTTTTGTGACTGAAATCTCCAGGCTTTCTCAGAGTTGGGGTGGGCTACCTCCCCCTACTTCCCAATACACATGAAAACACTGGCAGTCACTCCCACAAACCAACTCCAGCACCACCCTGTAAGCTCTACTATGGGCCTTGCTTCAGAGACCCATAAATAAATCTCAAAAGAGATCAAAAGCCGCAGTTAAGCTTGGACCACCACATGGCTGAACAGACTGGGGTAAGTCGGAGGCAGGTGTGTTGGCCTGTGTCTGCCCAAGCAGAGACCCCAGCAGCCACTTGCTTTCACAATCCAAAATCACCGCCGTACCCCCAGCCTGACTCCACCATCTCAGAACAGGCCTCACCAACATATAATCTGCTGAAAATTTGGGTATGTGAGTTTTGTGACTGAAATTTCACTCCAGCCCCTCTGGCCCTCCCGTTGATCATCGATTTGCTCGAGCGGGCCCAGTAACGTCTCCATTGGAGACTTTGTTGTTACTGTGTCTGGCATATCGAATACTCTCAGTAGCTTGCCGGGCTCTCCGAGAGGGGCGGAGGAATCGAACTCGGGTCGGCCATGTTGGCTGCGTGCAAGGCAAATGCCCTACCACTGTGCTATCACTCCGGCCCAGCCCCTCTACATTACCTTATTTTGAGATTTTTATACATTTTATTTTCATAAAGTAGTTCACAATAGTTCATTTCCAGACATTTTCAGGGTCGGGACTGGCTACCTCTCCCCACCTTCCTGTACTTCCAGAAACCTCAGCAGTCACATCCACACCCCTAAGCTTCCACCCAATTGAAAAGCTAGTCCAACCTTAACATCCCAGTAAAAATACCAAATGTCCTGAACAAACACCATGACCTCTTAGCACCTGTTTGTAAACCATAATGCATAAAAGGAAAAAGAGAACAAAAGGAAAGTGCCTCCCATAGAGGGAGGCTGGGGGTAGGGGTTAAGGGTTGGTGGAAGGTGGTAGGGAAATGGGACACGGTGGTGGAAATGTACACTGGTAGAGGGGTAGGTGCTGGATCGTTGTATGACTGAAACCCAATTATGAACAGCTTTGTAATGGTCTATCTCATAGCTATCTAATTTTTTTTTTAAAATTTAAAGTGGAGGTGTGTTTGGTTTTAACATACTTGCTTTTATTCCCTTATTGGGCTTAAATGGCCCCAGAATGAAATACAACAACCTTCACACACTTCCCTCTTATTGTGATGGGGAGATGCTCACTGGTTGGGTGGCTTTTTGAATATTATCTGTAATGAACTATTGTGAACTACTTTATGAAAATAAAATGTATAAAAATGTCAAAGTAATGTAGAGGGGCTGGAGTGATAGCACAGCGGGTAGGATGTTTGCCTTGCACGCGGCTGACCCAGGTTCAATTGCCAGCATCTCATATGGTCCCCTGAGCACTGCCAGGAGTGCATAATTTCTGAGTGCATAAGCCAGAAGTAATCCCTGTGCATCATCAGGTATGACCCAAAAAGCAAAACGAAACAAAACAACAAAGTGATGTGAAGTTAATGCTTAATTCAGTCAGCTTAATTAATGGCTGTACTCCTACATTTAAAAAAAATTAAAAAATGAAAGTCCCTTTGGGGCTGGAGCAATAGCACAGCAGGTAGGGCGTTTGCCTTACATGCAGCCGAGCCGGGTTCGATTCCCAGCATCCCATATGGTCTCCCGAGCACCGCCAGGAGTGATTCCTGAGTGCAAAACCAGGAGTAATTCCTGAGCATCGCCAGGTGTGACCCAAAAAAGTAAAAAAAAAATTAAAAATTAAAAATAAATAAAAGTCCCTTGGTCAGCCTATCATCATAAAGGTTGTTTTTATGATCCACAAGCACTAAACTCACTTGATTGTAGCTGGAGACCGCGGGCAGCTGGCTCACATGACAGTTTACAGTATTCCTCTGGGTGCAGCCACCGCAGAAGCACCTTCTTCATGGAACAGAGGTGACTGGGCCCCTCTCTGTTCCAGAGTCGCATTCACTGGCCAAAAAGATGAGTGAGGTCTGTAACAAGGCAGACTCTGAGAAGTGACCTGGTTTC